CGCGAGGCATAGGCGGTGGCCCACGTCGTCCATGCCTTACGCCGCCCTTGGTCATAGAAATGATGTAATTTGAATATAAATTATTTATAAATACGTATGTCAAGTTATATTTTTATTACGATGTAAAATATATTTAAGAGTTTACGATCAGTGGGTGAGACGTTGTTGAAACAAAAAAAGTTATACATTCCATCACGTACATAAACAGTGTCCTAATTCGCCAAGTGCAAATCAGCAAATTCGTAAAATTTTTATTTTGAACAATCCGGATAATCGAAAATCCAGATAATGGAGGTCTGGATAATCGAGGTTCTACTGTATTTCATTTTTATGATAAAATGAATTGCCATGATGTGCCATAATAGGCACTAAAAATTTACATTATGTTATACTTGTAGAAAAGTAATGGGATTCACTACTTAGTTAATCTTAAAATTTATTTTGTTAGTAATGAAATATTATTGGTAGAGTTACAGTAAGAGAATTACTAGAACATATGAATTTTCTTAATGACATTATGGTGGTTAGAATAATAAATACAATGATATATGTAGAAAATGAAGAAGAGTTTTAGAATTTTGCATATATTAATTATTAATTTATAATGTTGTGTATATACAGATTTCTCTGTGAAATGATCATGTCATCTGTATATATCATGTTAATGCTTTTCATGCCCTCCATTGTTCTCATTTTATGCTTTCTTTTTTTTTAAATAAAAATATAAAAAAATACATACAATTAGATGTAGGATACAATTTTTTCACATGCTTTTCCTGATTTTGTTCATTTATTCTACTTTAATTTCAATTTTTTAGTTCTAATAACTAAAATTCTGATAATTAATTTATTATTTATTGAATAGTTTCTTATTCAATATTTTTATTATAATAGATTCCAACTGATAATCAGAGAATACTCGAATCTCCAATTCATATATCTCATGCTTGGAAAGGTGAAGAAACAAAGCATAACATTGAAGAAAGATCAACAGGAATGAAAACAATTGAAGAAAAGCAAAATTGGAATTTAAGCCAACAAGAAGATATTTCAAAAAGACATATTAGTGAAGAAGGAAGTCATTTTCCTATTTTGACTGCAACTGTTGAAGAATGTGCAACTGAATTAGATACTGTTGCCATCATGCCAACTGAACAAGTGGTTACTGCTCATGCTCGAGCTGTTACATTAACTGAAGATGACGTTGGTAAATTAAATTTTTAATATGATAAATATTATGTATGTATGTATGTATATCAATTATTTATTTAATGTGTTTAATTTGAATTAAATATTTAGCTAGAGCAAAGTGCACTATTGTTTCTGCAACATTAGTTGATGAAAATGATCAAACAGTAACTAATCTGAAAGAAAATGATGATGGATTTTGGCATACAACTCAAGGAAAATTTAAATTCACATTAGAAGAATTACCTCCTCAACTTCAATTAATTTATGTTTTGTTAAAGGTTTATTCAGTGATTATCTTATTATTTTATAATGAATATTATTATGTTAAAATTTATTTATTTTTTTAATGTATTTTTAGGAATTAGATAACAGTAAAGATGCAGATATTCTTTATCATATACTCTCCTGTTTGAAATTAATGTGTCTGCATTCAGAAGTACTAAATAAAGCAGCACATGATCACAGAGGATTTTTAATTTGGTGTCAGGAAAATTTATTAATTCCTAAGTATGATTATAATTTAACGTTTTAGAAAAATAGTACTCAAGCTTCAATTATTTAACACTAGATTATTTATAGGATATCTTTGAAAGATTCCTTTTGAATTACAGTAGAGCGTTGTTTATCCGAAAGTCGGTTATCTGAAAGAATTCCAGTCGTGCTAAAGTATAATTTTTATTTGTTTTTATATTTTTCAATGTATTTATTTCGTTTGTAAAACATAAAGAAATCATTTTTAATGATACAATAGCCATGATTTTTATTTTAAAAAGTTTATGTTAGGCTTAACATCGACGAAAATTCAACGCAAAGTGACACGCAACGGAGAAAAATTTCAACACTGTATAGGTTAATATATTTTTTCGTACATAATCGGTTATCCGAAAAATAAGTTATCCAAACAACCCCAGTCCTCAATTGATTCGGATAAATGACGCTCTACTGTATAAGAAATTTAATTTGTTAATATGTTATAAAACATCTAATCTGCATTAATATTTAACATCATATATAATTACATATGATAAAACTGACTCTAAGATCAGAGTAATATAATGTAAATTTATTAGATTTTAAAATAATTATTATATTAAATTCCAGTATATAATATAAACTACAAGCCAACCAATGCTGTATGTTATCAGGCTAGATATCAGCTATAATACTAATAAATTATGAAACAATTTGGGACTAGAGGGAGATATTAAGTGCCATCTCTTAATAATTTATTAGTATTATAAGTTCATAATTTATTAGTGTTATAACCGATATCTAGCCCGATAACATGTGGCATTGGTTGGCTTGTAGTTTATAATGTATCGGGTTGTAATGTTATTGTTTGTTTAGTATATAATATAATTATTAAAATGCAAGATTTGATTAAACACTGTACAAGATATGCAAAATATTCTGAATGTTAAGCTTGTCTATTTATTCTACAGTTATTAATTATGTATAGATACAATATAGCTCCATTAAATACATATTTATCAGAATACAGTTGAAATCAGTTCTTTTAATTCTTTGGAGTTAATTCATTAATTTAATCTTTTATAAACAAGTATTTTGAATATTTTTTAGAAAAGCATAGGCTAATTATAAATTTCTTAACAAAAATACAATCATCATGTAATTTTTGTAAACAAAATAAAAATTCTGGAAGATGAACCTAATTCATTCTAAAATGTGATCTAAGTCATTTTTCTATAATATTACAACTAGGCTACAATTCAGAATCTACAATTTATTTTTTTCCATATCCATCCAATTCTTTGGACTCACCAGGATTCCCTTTAAGATCATTGATGAGTTCTTTCCCAGTCAGTAACAGGCCTACTATTGCTGATTCACCAGAAGGGCTCTGCCATAATGTGGGTATAACTCTACCATGGCTTCTGTAATGTTGAGTTGCTGTGGAAAATATCAATGTAGTCCTAATACAAGAGCCCTGTACCTTTATTCAGATCCAATAGGGAATTTTTCATCTTGACCAGATTGGTTGTTTCCTCCTCTGATATTAAAAGGGTTATAAATGATTTAAAACGTTTAAGTTAGTTTGACTTAATGGTTATTATTCTGGCTCACATGCAATTTGGAGCTGATGTTTATCAAGCCTGTCTGACATTTGGCTGTGTGTCCTTGATTTGTGTGATGAATGTGATTAAAGTTTACTTCACAAGCATTGAGAAAATAGAATCCACACGATTCAAAAAATGATGTTTTGATGAAATTGTTCACAATACACATGTAGTGTTTTACTGTCTGTTTCTGTTTCACAATCAACCAGTAGATTTGTTGAAAGTGTTCCTATTGATTAAAATACATGATGACCAATTGCTTAAAGTTGATAGTAAAATCACAATTGTTACTGGAAGCTTTCTTACTAAAATGCTTTGTGATTTTATTGTCCTTCAATTTGCTTGAATGTTTATAGATCTGCTAGATTTCAAGTTTGTTTGGCTTGAAATAGAAAATCTACCTGCAAACCATTTGCAGAAATTGATCTGTGCAATTTTACATGATTGTGAAATGACTGCCAAAACAGAAAATTTGCTATTTTGATGTGAGACTGCATTAGCTGATTTTCTTGGCATTAAAGATATTTTTGATAAGACTTCTTTGAGAGTATTAAACATGCTGCACTTGCTCATGATGTCAGTCTAGTTCTTGTTTACTGGATTGACTTCATGCTTTGTTTTTATAGTTATTTTCCTGGGAACATTTATTGTACAAGGTTGCCTGCAGGGCGGTTCTTTCACTTTTACTATGATGTCTTGTCACAGATGAACTTTCAAAGGCTGTCAATGATTCTATGTCCAGAGCTTATGAGATGACATTGTTCTCTGTATAGAAACATTTCCCAGCATTTTGTCAAACCTTTATCAAAGAGATTTGTCTTATGTGAAGAACTCATTCAGGTATAGTTACTTAAGAATAAGTCCTGAAAAAACTGTTGTTATTCCTTTTACTTGCAGGACTTTGAAGGGCTTATCTGAGCTGCTGCTTTGTCAATAGGGTGTAATTTTATTTACTTTGATCAAGTATCTTGATGTATTGTTTAACTGTCCTGTCATTGATTTTACATCTTTAGATGGTACTTGACAAAGAAGGCATATTTTCTGGTTGAATAGATAGATCTTGACAAATTCTGGGGTCTTCAATCTTATGTCCTATTTTGGATTTATACTGTGGTTGTCTGATCCAAGATTGCCAATGTCCAAGATTGGACATTGGCAGTTAAGGTGTCAGGCTACTGCTTCAGGGGTCCCAGGATTGAATCTGGGCTAGCAACGCCAATAGTTGTTGGAATAGATGGACCTAACATATCTGAAACAGATATGTTGGACCCATCACTCACTATCTGGATGTTCCCATTGTGGGTCTGGCTGAACTCTTGATGAGCATGGAAAAAGGTTTTATAAGTGTCCACAAGTAAGAAGGAGTCAAAAATAAAAAAGTTCCAAGATTGCCTATGCTGTCTTAATTTGGTGGACTAATGATTTGCAAGGATTGCCAAGTAAAGTTGCAAAATTGAACTGCATGTATTGCTAACACTAGGACCATTGGGTGTGATCTCAGGTAGTTTTCTTGAGATTCTGTTGGACTTTCTTCTGCTTCATCTTTTTATTCAAACTAAAGTTTGGAGGATCCTCTATAAGCTTAAGTGTATCCTTTAGTTTACAACCATTTTCTTTTGGTTGTTTCTCTTGTTGGAGAACATGTTAAAACAACAAAAGATGAAAAAAATATATACATTTATAGAGTCTATAATCATTAATTATATGTATTATTTTGATCACTAGTTATTGAGTTGTTCGGAAAGTAATTTCGTTTTTTCCGTGGGAAAAAAAAACAATATTTTTGTAATAAATAAATATTTTATTGAATTATATATTGACCATTTTGGTCAAATACCCATTGTCATTGTTTCTGGTAGTAGCATGATTTCACATTCATAAAAGTTTTGATCATTGCTTACAAAAAACTGATCCAAGTGATTTTTGGCATTTTCATTTCAAGTAAATGTCTTACAGTTTAAAAATTTTGTATAGACCAGAACAAGTAATAATCTGAGGGTGTCTGATCTGGCGAATATGGTTGGTATGATAGCACATCCCATCTAAGCTGTAACAGTTTCTGATGAGTTATCAAACTTGTGTGAAATTTGTCACATTATCATGATAAAACACTACACCTTTTTTGTTGATCAATTCTGGCCTTTTTTCTGTTTGATGACATTACTCAATTTGTTTACTCGATGGCAGTACACTTTTGAATCAATTGTTAAATTGTCTGGTAAAAGCTCAAAAAAAATCTTTAAAATTCCACCAAAGAGAGCATATCTCTTTAAAAACACATGAAACCTGTATATCGAGCTTTGAAACGAAACCAATTCATTTCAAGTAATCATAAACAGTTCAGTTTGACAAATTTAATCTCTCAGTGATTTCACGTGTTGTTATTCGGTAGTTTGCTTCAATCATAACCTTTATTTTGTTTTCATTGGCTTCAACTGGCCATCCAGAATGTGATGCATCTTCAATATTCAAATTGCCAGAATGAAATTTTGTAAACCAGTTTTGGCACTGTCTTTCTCTCAACACATCTTCTCCATACATCTACCACAATTTTTTTCTTGCTTGAACAGCATTTTGATTTTTTGGTAATAAAAAAGCAAAATATGCCAAAAATGATGCTATCGATTTTCCATATTTGATGGGACACTGAAAAAAAAAATTGTACAGAATCAAACAAAAATTTTTTACAAATAAGCCTTTAAATGTCAGCTGTCAAAATATTTAATGAAAATGTGATTTAAAATGAAAATGGCAGGAAAAATACGACTAATCCATCTAGTGGTTAAAAAAAACGAAATTGCTTTCCAAACAACCCAATATATAATGGTCTATTTACTGATTTTTTTTTTTTTTTGAATTTTTACATTTTAAAATTGTTGATTTTACAATTAATGTTTTTACTTCAGTTTGACTTTATCTTATGAATTACCATACATCTTTCAAAGATATTACATAATGTACATCATAACACTTGAATATTTATATTATTAATTTTGAAATTTTTATTAATAGTTTATGGAATCTTTTACAAGCTGAATTTTCACATATATCACAGTTAAGTGTTCCTCTTCTGTTACATTGTATAACATTACCTTGTGGGACAGATATGTTTTGGAAAGTTGTTGAACATGATTTTCATAATGATAATTGGAGAGCTATATTTGCAGCAGGTAAAGTTTTTGGTTGTGTTTTGCAAATTATTATATATTTTAATAAAATGATTTTTCATTTGATTTTTCAGTGGAAAAAGTATCAATGATTGCACACTTTGTTGATTCTGCAGCAGTCAAAAATAGTCCTTTACTGCAGTCATCTTTAGCGAATGCTTTTACGTATTTGGTGAGGTGTTTGGATGATGTACATCAAGTTATCGCACAACGTGCTCTATTAAATCTTGAAACAATTAAAACATCATCACTCAAGGTTATTAATTATTACATGTAACAAAATGAAAATATCACTTTATACATATTTAGAAATAATTATTATTAATTGTATGTATTATAATTTATCTTCTAGTTGTTTCTTTGGTGTTTAGAAGTACAATTTGACACTGTAATAGTGGATAGGCCAATAATATTACAAACTGTTTACCAATTATATAATCATTTAAGTGATCGTCGTTTCCTTACCTGGGATTTTTTCTTAAATCGTTTTGATACATTGTTTCTTGAAGCTCAGATTAATTTAGAAATGACATACACAAGAGGTAATTGTAAATATTGTATTTGAATTTTAGTAACATTTCTTTACAATAATTTAATGTAAGTAATTTATTCAGAAATATTTAAATAAATTTATTTTGAAATATTTTTATAGATTTGAAGAATACCAATATTTATAGCGAGATGTTTCAGCGTAAACTAAGTCGTGCTAATGAAGCACTTTCTCACAATGCACGATCTCGTTCACTTATTTCTAGTATTGGCTCAAAATGGCCTTACAAACGAGCAATGTCAGCTCCTGGTGGAATGATTTCAAAGCAAGAAAAATGGGGTATTTAGTAAATTTATTAAGATATATGGATACATTTATTTAATTCTAAATACAGTAGAGCATCGATTATCCGACCCCCGATCAACCGTCACATCAGTTAACCGACTGCATTCTAGTCGGCAAATTCAAATGTCCGCTAGTGATGTGGTGCTACAATATTTGGCTGTCTTGGCTACTTTAATAGTATTTTTACGTGTTTTAGCTGGCAACACTGACTCGACCATGAAAGGGAGCCAGTATTTTAACGAGGCTTAATTTTCTAATTTTTAACAATACAATAGCGACAATTATTATTTTAAAAAAATTTTTGTTAGGCTTAACGTCGATGAAAATTCAATGCGAAGTAGGTTAATAGCAATATACTAATATACTAATTACATGGGATATACTAATATACTATACTAATAATGTGTTTTTTCATATTTTTTGGTTATCCGTTTTTTCAGTTATCCGACCAACCCCAGTCCCCAATTGAGTCAGATAATCAATGCTCTACTGTATAGGAAATTTTCTGATCAATGAATTTGAGGGGACTAATATTTTGAATGTTTGACATAAGAAGAATTCTATACATGGAGAGTAACAATAAATAATTAGTTATGATTCCACAAGTATAAAATTCATTTAGAAATAATCTTAAGTAACTATAAAGATGGACAAAACTAAAGATGTTTGATATCTGTTTAATTTCTTTGCAATTTTGTTGTAAATCATTTAGAATGACACTGCATTCTCTTGTACGCATGACATGTTACAGAAATCATCCATGTTTCAAATAAATGATTATCAAAATTTACAAAAATCACTGTTTGCCACAAAGGAAAACTAAACCTAAAAGTTCAGCTTTTAATGTCACAAATCTATAGACAGAGAATAAGAAAACAGTATTGATGGTGCAAAAAATGACCATAATTTTTTTTAAAAATAACCCAATTGGCAAGAAATATTAGGATCTGGTAACTTGCCCTGCATCTATTCCAAAACACCCATAATTGCCAAAGATAGTAATGATCATAGTTGGAGATAGTGTCCTTAACATCTCCTGAAATGGATATTTTCAATATAGTCTGGCACAATATGAATGGCTGGAGTTTTAAATAAAGAGAATTTTATTGGATGGTTTTAAATTTGTTCATTATAATGTAATAAACACCATATATTTATATACTGCATTTTCTGGAGATTGTTAGTTGTTCTATATAAGGAGAAGTTTGTTATAGAAAGAATTTGAAATTAGGAAATTTCCTGTATTTGTTAAAAAGAAATAATTATTAAGTTTGTGAATCATTTTAATAAGTACTCTTTGATTAAATTTATTATAAAATTCAGAAAATTTACATTCATAAATAAGTATTCTGTAGAATTTGAATAAATCTTCTATTGAAATACTGTATATCCTACTGAAATAACAAATAATGCAGCAAATGTCAAAAATTATAAAAACAAATTTCTTTATTATGTTTTATATATTATATTTTTGTAATTTTTTTAGCAAATGCTTTTACATTGCAAAAGTAAAACATGATTTAATATTTAATTAAAATTTATAATATTTTATGATATTTTAATAGTAGACAAAGATAAAATATACAGTAGACAGTCTTCTGCTCCTGTGTTGAAGCGCAAAAGTTTTAAACTTATAGCGGGAATTCATGGTGGACCTTTGACTCATTTACCTAACAGCTTTTATTCTGGTAATGTATTTCATATTTCATATTAGAACTATTAAATATACTTTATATTTGAATAGTTTTCAACCTTAAATTTTTTAAAGTTTTTAATTTTTGAAGTTGATTATTATTGAAAGTACTTATTAAGTTTCAATCATTTAAATATATGAAATATTTAGATAGTCAAGGGAAAGAATTGGCACAGGAGGAAACTCATCTACTGCATATAATACAAAAGTGTATGGATATGGAAGATCATGATAAAGAAACATCACATCTTTTGATATTTGTTTTGATGCATGTATGTAAAATTATTTATATTTTATCCAATTCTTGTAAATTTCTATGATTAAAATTTATTTGTAAATTGGAACATGAATTGAATTCATATTCAAAAAATAAATTTTAAAAATTTTTGATAATTTTATTTTTAATAAAAAAGTACCATATATTTCCACAGATAAGACAATAGTTGAATCATTAAAAATACCCTCCAAAATCCAGGGTCATCTTATAGGACAGATACAAAAAAAAATTAGATTGAAATTTATATAAATTAAAATCATTATAAAAAAAAAGGAAAAACTAATTATTTATTAGTAGAAAGTAGGTTATGTTCACAAAATAGAATAGCCCATACGACATTTTTGTGAATAGTCAAGGTCATTACTCAAAGGCCCAAATCAGTGCGAATGTTCGCAACAATAGCAAGGCAGTACTGTCAAATGCAAGAAAATAAAATTTGTTCATTCGAAAAATTACGAGTAAGACAATTCCGTATATGCTATACAGTATTATTATCCAGATGATGATTGCTGATCTAAACTAAATTCATAGGCCGTTGATAGTTTTGGGGTTGTCTTATAGGACAGATACTGTATATGCTAAAACTATAAAACTTCAACAAAAATTTATACCTTGTCTTATCTGAAGGTCATCTTATCTGCGGAAATATATGGTAAGTTGTTAGTAAATGTTCTTTTTTTTTATGATTTAACATTTTGTAGAGAAAACATTCTTTTCATTAAATTTTCATTTTCTTTAAAAAACATGTTCCTCAAAACCCTTCAAAGAAATAATCAAAGATTTATTAAATTTGTTCAAACAAATATTTTGCATGAGTGCAAAGAGAAAAAATAAGTGATAGCCAAGAATACTAGTCATAAAATCAAATACAAAGAATTTATATATAATGCTGTATATAGTATTAAAATGTAAATTTTCGACTATAAATTTGTATCTTCTATTATCAGGACTTATTATACTGGCTTTACAGATAATGATACAAAGTTTAACAGAAAACAATTTTTATTTTATTCCATATACCTGGACACATACATCATTTTGCATTTTGGACATATTTGTCCTCCTCAGCAGGTATTTCNGACAATTATTATTTTAAAAAAATTTTTGTTAGGCTTAACGTCGATGAAAATTCAATGCGAAGTAGGTTAATAGCAATATACTAATATACTAATTACATGGGATATACTAATATACTATACTAATAATGTGTTTTTTCATATTTTTTGGTTATCCGTTTTTTCAGTTATCCGACCAACCCCAGTCCCCAATTGAGTCAGATAATCAATGCTCTACTGTATAGGAAATTTTCTGATCAATGAATTTGAGGGGACTAATATTTTGAATGTTTGACATAAGAAGAATTCTATACATGGAGAGTAACAATAAATAATTAGTTATGATTCCACAAGTATAAAATTCATTTAGAAATAATCTTAAGTAACTATAAAGATGGACAAAACTAAAGATGTTTGATATCTGTTTAATTTCTTTGCAATTTTGTTGTAAATCATTTAGAATGACACTGCATTCTCTTGTACGCATGACATGTTACAGAAATCATCCATGTTTCAAATAAATGATTATCAAAATTTACAAAAATCACTGTTTGCCACAAAGGAAAACTAAACCTAAAAGTTCAGCTTTTAATGTCACAAATCTATAGACAGAGAATAAGAAAACAGTATTGATGGTGCAAAAAATGACCATAATTTTTTTTAAAAATAACCCAATTGGCAAGAAATATTAGGATCTGGTAACTTGCCCTGCATCTATTCCAAAACACCCATAATTGCCAAAGATAGTAATGATCATAGTTGGAGATAGTGTCCTTAACATCTCCTGAAATGGATATTTTCAATATAGTCTGGCACAATATGAATGGCTGGAGTTTTAAATAAAGAGAATTTTATTGGATGGTTTTAAATTTGTTCATTATAATGTAATAAACACCATATATTTATATACTGCATTTTCTGGAGATTGTTAGTTGTTCTATATAAGGAGAAGTTTGTTATAGAAAGAATTTGAAATTAGGAAATTTCCTGTATTTGTTAAAAAGAAATAATTATTAAGTTTGTGAATCATTTTAATAAGTACTCTTTGATTAAATTTATTATAAAATTCAGAAAATTTACATTCATAAATAAGTATTCTGTAGAATTTGAATAAATCTTCTATTGAAATACTGTATATCCTACTGAAATAACAAATAATGCAGCAAATGTCACACTGTAATAGTGGATAGGCCAATAATATTACAAACTGTTTACCAATTATATAATCATTTAAGTGATCGTCGTTTCCTTACCTGGGATTTTTTCTTAAATCGTTTTGATACATTGTTTCTTGAAGCTCAGATTAATTTAGAAATGACATACACAAGAGGTAATTGTAAATATTGTATTTGAATTTTAGTAACATTTCTTTACAATAATTTAATGTAAGTAATTTATTCAGAAATATTTAAATAAATTTATTTTGAAATATTTTTATAGATTTGAAGAATACCAATATTTATAGCGAGATGTTTCAGCGTAAACTAAGTCGTGCTAATGAAGCACTTTCTCACAATGCACGATCTCGTTCACTTATTTCTAGTATTGGCTCAAAATGGCCTTACAAACGAGCAATGTCAGCTCCTGGTGGAATGATTTCAAAGCAAGAAAAATGGGGTATTTAGTAAATTTATTAAGATATATGGATACATTTATTTAATTCTAAATACAGTAGAGCATCGATTATCCGACCCCCGATCAACCGTCACATCAGTTAACCGACTGCATTCTAGTCGGCAAATTCAAATGTCCGCTAGTGATGTGGTGCTACAATATTTGGCTGTCTTGGCTACTTTAATAGTATTTTTACGTGTTTTAGCTGGCAACACTGACTCGACCATGAAAGGGAGCCAGTATTTTAACGAGGCTTAATTTTCTAATTTTTAACAATACAATAGCGACAATTATTATTTTAAAAAAATTTTTGTTAGGCTTAACGTCGATGAAAATTCAATGCGAAGTAGGTTAATAGCAATATACTAATATACTAATTACATGGGATATACTAATATACTATACTAATAATGTGTTTTTTCATATTTTTTGGTTATCCGTTTTTTCAGTTATCCGACCAACCCCAGTCCCCAATTGAGTCAGATAATCAATGCTCTACTGTATAGGAAATTTTCTGATCAATGAATTTGAGGGGACTAATATTTTGAATGTTTGACATAAGAAGAATTCTATACATGGAGAGTAACAATAAATAATTAGTTATGATTCCACAAGTATAAAATTCATTTAGAAATAATCTTAAGTAACTATAAAGATGGACAAAACTAAAGATGTTTGATATCTGTTTAATTTCTTTGCAATTTTGTTGTAAATCATTTAGAATGACACTGCATTCTCTTGTACGCATGACATGTTACAGAAATCATCCATGTTTCAAATAAATGATTATCAAAATTTACAAAAATCACTGTTTGCCACAAAGGAAAACTAAACCTAAAAGTTCAGCTTTTAATGTCACAAATCTATAGACAGAGAATAAGAAAACAGTATTGATGGTGCAAAAAATGACCATAATTTTTTTTAAAAATAACCCAATTGGCAAGAAATATTAGGATCTGGTAACTTGCCCTGCATCTATTCCAAAACACCCATAATTGCCAAAGATAGTAATGATCATAGTTGGAGATAGTGTCCTTAACATCTCCTGAAATGGATATTTTCAATATAGTCTGGCACAATATGAATGGCTGGAGTTTTAAATAAAGAGAATTTTATTGGATGGTTTTAAATTTGTTCATTATAATGTAATAAACACCATATATTTATATACTGCATTTTCTGGAGATTGTTAGTTGTTCTATATAAGGAGAAGTTTGTTATAGAAAGAATTTGAAATTAGGAAATTTCCTGTATTTGTTAAAAAGAAATAATTATTAAGTTTGTGAATCATTTTAATAAGTACTCTTTGATTAAATTTATTATAAAATTCAGAAAATTTACATTCATAAATAAGTATTCTGTAGAATTTGAATAAATCTTCTATTGAAATACTGTATATCCTACTGAAATAACAAATAATGCAGCAAATGTCAAAAATTATAAAAACAAATTTCTTTATTATGTTTTATATATTATATTTTTGTAATTTTTTTAGCAAATGCTTTTACATTGCAAAAGTAAAACATGATTTAATATTTAATTAAAATTTATAATATTTTATGATATTTTAATAGTAGACAAAGATAAAATATACAGTAGACAGTCTTCTGCTCCTGTGTTGAAGCGCAAAAGTTTTAAACTTATAGCGGGAATTCATGGTGGACCTTTGACTCATTTACCTAACAGCTTTTATTCTGGTAATGTATTTCATATTTCATATTAGAACTATTAAATATACTTTATATTTGAATAGTTTTCAACCTTAAATTTTTTAAAGTTTTTANATTAAATCTCAAAAACTTATTTTTATTTTTAAGCATTTAGTTCTTCGTCATATTAATTTGTTGATGGGTTACAGTCCAACAGAAAAAGGCTTTCTCATTATTTTATAGTTTCTTGCAACTCCTGATCAATCACATCCTTCCGAAGGAAAAGTAATTGGGAGAAATCAGGTAATTTGAATAACAACATAATGTTAGTAGTTTTCATAGTACTGTAGTTACTTAAATTTAATTATAATTGAATCTTATTAATTCTGATTAAAATAACTTAATGTTTCAAAATGAATAATAATGTTAGTTTTTTCACAAGAAGATATTAGGTAAACTATAACAATAACAATAGACCAGACATCTTACTGATTGATAAGCAAAACTAAAAAAAAAAAAACTTTCTCATGCATGTGGAGAATGGATAAGGTACTTATCATGTCTACAGTCCTATTTTACAGAAAAGTCTAGAAACATTATGGCTTCACAATAGCACATACCTCACATTGCAGAAAGCTGCCATACTAAACACGTCATATAGGCTCTCTGCCTATATGTTTTGTGCTATGATGGAGACCTCTTACATTAAAATAGTGAACTTTGTAATTACAAACAACAGAGTTATGACTGAACTAACATGATAAATTTGGTGAATTTTTCCTCTGGAATAAAGAAGTGAAATATTTGTAGCATGGTAGGATGTAATACTTCTTACAGTAATGCCAAAGGAATACCCTTTTTTTATTTTTTCCAAATGAAAAAAGACCCAGTTAGAAGAAACGCATGAATTAATGCTGTACAGAGGCTTTACTTTTATTTGTCTGTCTTCATTAATTATAAAAGAATTCCTAAATTTTTGATGGATATTTTATTTCCATTAAACAATAATGACTTTCACTGTCTCTGATGATGCCATCTGAGAACAGCATAGCCATGGCAATTATGAGCAATGCACTCTTAATTGAGCAGATAATATCTGTAGAGTTTTCTATCAGTATATTCTGTTTGGATCAGCTGGAGATATGTAGTTTTGTTTTCCTATATCTTTTTCTTGTTCCAAAAAATTTGGCTAAGCCTTATTACTTGTTTGTAATCTTCCTTTATCAAAGTAGCTGGCTTATTCCAAGATTGTGGTAAACTTGTTCTTGGTTATATTTTTTTTCTTCTTTACTAATAAAAAAGTAAGCCGTGCTGCATGCTTACCTTACTTTTGGACTTCTATCAAGAAGTCCTGCCCTGTTTGAGTAAAAGGCATTAATCATTTTTCATTGGTCATTAAGCTAAAAAAATAATGTACTGCCATTGTGTTAATATGTTTATGTTGATTCTTTTATCAGTTCCCTTATGTCCTATGTTGATGACAGCAAATCTTGCATGTACTTTTTTCTTTTGCAATAAACATTAAAGAGATTTTTGAAATTTTTGCATTAATATTTTTAGCTACACACCAACCGAATGCCGAAAATCTATCGGGTTAGTATAAGGCTAATTATTAAATGAATTATGTAACCAATTTGGCTTTAGAGGTAAGCGTTAGGCGCCATCTCTTATTAACATTAATAATTTATAAATAAATANTATTTAATTAATAATTTTTAAAAATTTAAAACATTATAAAGACAGAGTTGTTTTTATAGTAGTCTAATTTTATAAAATTTAAATTTACTGTTTCATTCATGTTTGTAATTTTTATTTTTAATTGATTTATTGTGTAGATTGATTCTAATTCAGTGGAATTTGGCATTTATATATATAGTTATATATATAATATAAATTAATTTAAAATAATTGGTTAAGAATTAACTGCAATATAGTTGAGAGTAACAAGACAAGAATAACTGCATTTTGTATATTCAAAATCACTTCACAAACTGGGATCCATGAATCTTTGAGGGTCCACAGACCAGTTTCAGAGGTCCCTAAAACATTCAAAAGGTATCTGGTAACATGTTTATTTTCCTAAAAATATTCTAATAGAATCATGAGTTTCATTGTAGAACATTACTTGTATTCATAGTAATCTACTGAAAATAACTTGCTTCCTTCACAGAGTACATTCAATCCCTGCCACTAATTTATGTTTACACTTATGTACAGTATGTAAGAATCATTTATGCATTTGGCTAATGGAAAGCAGTGTATCAGTGGTTTTGATGGCCTGTGCATTACTTAATGAACCCTTTCAAGTATTTTCTAATACTTTTGGTTCTTCCTGTAACTAATTGTTAAATTAAAAAAAGCACTAAGTGTGTCTTTTTATAAATTTGAATGATTTTGAAAGTAAAAAACTCAAAATTATTGTTATTTATTACTGTAAATTTCATTTAAAATATTTTAGATATTGTTCAGATCTTGATGTCTCACATACACAGACTTATAAAGATATGCATGTAGAGTACCATACATATGAATCCATAAACATTTTTTTGAGTTTTGAAGGAATCTGTAGGACTTTGTGGTTTGGAAATTGATGTTTGAAACAATAATGTAAAGATTATAAATAATTTAACTTTTTAAATTAATTTTATTACTTTAAATATTTATTTTTTTTACTTATTCTAGTATTTGTTTTAATAAAAAATAAAAAATTAGAAAATGTGTAGTAAAAATAAAGAAAAAAGATATTCTGTTTATAATGCAATTAAATAATAATTTTTATTTAATATATAATTAAATTGCTTAAAAGTATAATTTATTTATTTATTATAAGTAAAAAAAATGTATTTTATAGTTTCTTGCAACTCCTGATCAATCACATCCTTCCGAAGGAAAAGTAATTGGGAGAAATCAGGTAATTTGAATAACAACATAATGTTAGTAGTTTTCATAGTACTGTAGTTACTTAAATTTAATTATAATTGAATCTTATTAATTCTGATTAAAATAACTTAATGTTTCAAAATGAATAATAATGTTAGTTTTTTCACAAGAAGATATTAGGTAAACTATAACAATAACAATAGACCAGACATCTTACTGATTGATAAGCAAAACTAAAAAAAAAAAAACTTTCTCATGCATGTGGATAAGGTAGTTATCATGTCTACAGTCCTATTTTACACAAAAGTCTAGAAACATTATGGCTTCACAATAGCACATACCTCACATTGCAGAAAGCTGCCATACTAAACACGTCATATAGGCTCTCTGCCTATATGTTTTGTGCTATGATGGATACCTCTTACATTAAAATAGTGAACTTTGTAATTACAAACAACAGAGTTATGACTGAACTAACATGATAAATTTGGTGAATTTTTCCTCTGGAATAAAGAAGTGAAATATTTGTAGCATGGTAGGATGTAATACTTCTTACAGTAATGCCAAAGGAATACCCTTTTTTTATTTTTTCCAAATGAAAAAAGACCCAGTTAGAAGAAACGCATGAATTAATGCTGTACAGAGGCTTTACTTTTATTTGTCTGTCTTCATTAATTATAAAAGAATTCCTAAATTTTTGATGGATATTTTATTTCCATTAAACAATAATGACTTTCACTGTCTCTGATGATGCCATCTGAGAACAGCATAGCCATGGCAATTATGAGCAATGCACTCTTAATTGAGCAGATAATATCTGTAGAGTTTTCTATCAGTATATTCTGTTTGGATCAGCTGGAGATATGTAGTTTTGTTTTCCTATATCTTTTTCTTGTTCCAAAAAATTTGGCTAAGCCTTATTACTTGTTTGTAATCTTCCTTTATCAAAGTAGCTGGCTTATTCCAAGATTGTGGTAAACTTGTTCTTGGTTATATTTTTTTTCTTCTTTACTAATAAAAAAGTAAGCCGTGCTGCATGCTTACCTTACTTTTGGACTTCTATCAAGAAGTCCTGCCCTGTTTGAGTAAAAGGCATTAATCATTTTTCATTGGTCATTAAGCTAAAAAAATAATGTACTGCCATTGTGTTAATATGTTTATGTTGATTCTTTTATCAGTTCCCTTATGTCCTATGTTGATGACAGCAAATCTTGCATGTACTTTTTTCTTTTGCAATAAACATTAAAGAGATTTTTGAAATTTTTGCATTAATATTTTTAGCTACACACCAACCGAATGCCGAAAATCTATCGGGTTAGTATAAGGCTAATTATTAAATGAATTATGTAACCAATTTGGCTTTAGAGGTAAGCGTTAGGCGCCATCTCTTATTAACATTAATAATTTATAAATAAATAAATTAATTTAAATAATTTAGAACCGCTGGGAGAAAAAAATCGGCCCGGAGTGGGACTCAAACCCACAACTCCTGCTTACCGTGCAGATGTGTTGCCAGTTACGCTATCCGGACCTCCAGTCCGATCTCTTCCAGCGTATAGAAGCTAACTATATAACCATCGACGGTTATTACAACGCCGGCTGGGGACACATTCAGTGCCCACGTCCTATGTCCTATAAGGCACTCAACCGGCCATCGCAAGCCCCGGCAAGGCGTAATATATACAAACATCGCTAAACCCGATATATAATATAGGTATACACCAATCGAATGCCGAAAATCTATCGGGCTAGTATAAGGCTAATTATTAAATGAATTACGTAACCAATTTGGCTTTAGAGGTAATATTATAAATAAATAAATTTATTTATTTATAATTATTAATGTTAATAAGAGATGGCGCCTAACGCTTACCTCTAAAGCCAAATTGGTTACGTAATTCATTTAATAATTAGCCTTATACTAGCCCGATAGATTTTCGGCATTCGATTGGTGTATACCTATATTATATATCGGGTTTAGCGATGTTTGTATATATTACGCCTTGCCGGGGCTTGCGATGGCCGGTTGAGTGCCTTATAGGACATAGGACGTGGGCACTGAATGTGTCCCCAGCCGGCGTTGTAATAACCATCGATGGTTANAAAAAACATTCCAAAAAGCCAAAAAAACAAAACTTTTAGGAGGACCAAACGCCCGAGTTTTATGTAACGCTATGTAACTTGCCCGAGATATCTCGGGCTTGGGGTTAGGTTAAGGAAAAAGTTTCTGTTAGCGAACCCTTTGTTAAATATTTCGAATATCACCACTGGCTATATTATATATCGGGTTTAGCGATGTTTGTATATTAATATTTTTATTTTAAACATAAAACATACATTTTTTAAAAATGTATCGGTACAAATACATTTTTATAAAATTAAATATTAATTATATTTTAATTAAAAAATGATCAAAAGAGTTGTAATATAGATGATTAACTTTCCTTTGGATAATTTGTACTGGAATTTGTTAGCTAGATTTATGTACAGTACATGCATTTGTGGAATACATTTATGAAAAGCTGTATATTTTTGAGTATTTTAAGTAACATTATGAAAATGGCCTGTTTATTTTAATTTTTCCCTACCTTAATGGATTTCTTACAAAAAAATCATCCTCTAAAGTGACAGGAAATAAAATTATATCTTAAAACTATGTTCATTGCATCTATGTAAATACATGTGTTTGTAACTACATTTTTCAAATTTCCACCCCAAGAGGGTGCTTTACTGTAGTACCAGATGATGGGACATAGACCAGACCAGACCAGATCAGATGATAGGACATAACAGTTGAACATTAACGATATTTACTCGCTTATAAGACAATCTCTCATATAGGATGAGGTGTGACTCTAAAGATCAAAATAAAGAAAATTAGATTTATTAATACAATTTAATTTTATTTAGTTAATCACAAATAAAATGTCAAATACATGTAAATGCACACATTGTCCCACAAAAATTACTGGCATTTTAAACTTTAAGGAAAAATCTTGTAAAATTGACAACATAATTTGTTCATGTAAAGTTGGACAATTGGGAACATTTTTTGCCAATTCTTAACAGTCGAATCCTCTCTATCAATTAAACTTATGAGTTTCTCCAAATTCTGATTTCCGGATAATCATCTGTTTTCACGTAGGAATGGATTAAAACTTATATCAGGCTCCCGTGTGATTTNCAAATACATGTAAATGCACACATTGTCCCACAAAAATTACTGGCATTTTAAACTTTAAAGAAAAATCTTGTAAAATTGACAACATAATTTGTTCATGTAAAGTTGGACAATTGGGAACATTTTTTGCCAATTCTTAACAGTCGAATCCACTCTCCATCAATTAAACTTATGAGTTTCTCCAAATTCTGATTTCCGGATAATCATCTGTTTTCACGTAGGAATGGATTAAAACTTATATCAGGCTCCCGTGTGATTTTGGAATTTCAAATTGGAATTCAATTCATAAGCTTTGCTTTTCCTATTGGTATTCATCTTTATTCCTGACAATATACAAGAACGATTGAAACGACTCAGATAAAATACTTTTGTTTTTAAACACCAGAGTGTTTAGAAACAAAAGTATTTTATCAAAAGATGAGCATCCAGTAAAAAATGCAAGCACACGATTCACAAAAATTATTGCAAAAACACAAAGAATCCTTCGTTTGCACATATAAGACAACCTAGGTTTTTGAAACAATGAAAAATGAATAAAAACCTCGTCTTATATGCAAGTAAATACGGTAATTGAGATTTTGGAATGAAACTGACCAAAAGATTATAAGTAGATTCTGGAAAGCCTTCTTATTCAGCCATACAACTAATGATATTATTACATCAGAATTAATAGAAAGTCTAATAATTAACAAGCTGAATTTGTAGCTCTTGATAATTTGTTTGGCAGCCACCAATGAAGTTGAAATTTTCTTCTAACATTGATGAGATTCTTAAAACAACGTTCACAAAGAACTACTTCAAATGAAGTCATGTAACTTGCATATTGTCCACAGTGGTTTTGGTACTGGCTTATATTTTGACGTATGCCACATTGAAGTATTGAGGAACTTCTAGATCATGTACATTATTGGTTTCATATATGCAGTACTTAGCAAAACATTTTCATATATTGAACTGTTGTGAATGAAAGAATCCATGATTTTGAGATACTTGTGTAAAATCAATGGGTGATACTTGTTTATGTGGTGATATGCTTGTTATAGACACTGGAAGTTCTGAAGATTACTTTTAGCAATGTTGACTAAGAAGGTTAGTAGTATAGAATTGAAATCTGCAAGGTACAAAAACCTGAAGAATAATTTTTAAGACGAAACAATATTTGTAAAATTGGGATTCTTGAGAGAAATAGTAATAGATTTCTTACTGTCCATTAGGGAGAAGGATCTTAGATCACTTCTTATATGATGAAATGCATGATTTATGCAACACAAGCTTGTGACAGATTATTAGAGATAATGTTGATATTTTTGCATTTCATTAGACTCGATAGATTTAACATTCTTACAAAGGAGAAAATGAAAAAAGTTAAAATTTATGACTGTTCTAGTTAATATGAAAAGTTTTTTTATAACAAATAGCAAATATATTTTTGATTATCACCAATCAACACTGTTTTGTTGAAAATTTACAATCTTTGCATCCATTGTCACGGACAAATGATTTTTAATTGGAATAACTGAAGATGTTTTATGGATATATCAAGAAACATTAAAAGTGTCTGTAACAGTAGATTTGCTTAAGGTTGCATGAAATACTACAATTATACAAAGAAGCCTGATAGTGAAAAAGAGGGTTCTTGAAAGGATAAAATTGAGAAAGAGAAGCAGAAGGAAGAAAAATTAGAGAGAAAGTTGAGGAAAGTGAGAAGTTGTAGTTATATGCACAAGTATACTTGTTTTTTTTATCTAGGGGTGTTGAATAAAATCATCTCAAAGCAAAAAAGAAAGATGCTAATAAAGACAATATTACATTAAATCAGTTATTTTGTTATATTTTTTTAATTAAAAATGATATGTAAAATTCTATCATGCACTGTACTTTTAGTGGCTATGTATTATATTTTTACTTGAAAATTCCTCTATTTTATAAACAACAAAATATATTTTATTTGATTTATAAATTAAATTTATGAACATTTTATTTAATTATTCATAAAGTAATATTTGCTTCTATTTTACATTAATGTGTATATAATTCAAAAATACATAAATTTATCAGAATATTAATATATTTGTTTATGAAAAATATAATTCCATGNGGTGATGTTTGATGATAGGGAAGCTGTGTGCTACAGCTTCCCTATCATCAAATGTCTTCCAACAATTCTATCCATGGCCAGTACAGCCATGGATAGAATAGAATCGTTGGAAGCATTATATGATATTTTGGTATGTAGCATCGACGAGCTAAGCTGTGTGAGGTTAGTGCTCTGTAAAGCACATGCACGAATGCGTATAATCTGGCTGCTTTACATCATTTAAATATTTTTGGCATGGAAGCTATCCCGTAGATTAGAACATCTGCACTGATAAATTGCCAATTATGCTATCCATACCTCTCTCCAATCATTAAATTAATTAATTTAATTGTAATTATTAAATTCAGTACAAGATGGCAATCTAATTGCTTTTTTTAAATCCAAATGACTTTATATGTATATATTTAATTAGCCAAGTTATGGCTTGATGAATCTAACATTATGATTTGATTAGTTATATGTAAACTGATTCTTAATTAAATTCTTTATTACTTTGTTTTTTTTTACCATTCAAAACTTCACATATTCTTAACAATAAATTTTATATTAACAATGCCTATTATGGAAATAAGATTTATTCATTTACATTTATAAAAATTTCAGAATTATTATTCCAAATTTTTTTATAAATGTATATGAATAAATTATATAATATTTAATAATTAATAATTTCAGTTCAAATTACTAACAGCAAATAAACTGATTTAAGACATAGTTTAGATACTTTTCAACATATACTCAGACTCATTGATTATTATATAACACATACACCTTGTTGCTGAGAATCATTTTACTGTTTTAAACGAATGTTTTAAACTTGATCAACAGACCATCATCAGGTTATCAATTCACTGGACTATTTACAATCATTCTATATTTGAACGAATATGCAATAACAACTTTGAATTTAAAGTGTTCAAACATTTTGTCAAAAAATCAAAATATATAAAGATATAACTAATCCATTAAATACATAAAGCTAAACGAATCAAAATAGAGTAGAACAAAATAAAATAAAATAAAAAATATAATAACATAACATATAAAATTACATTGACCATGCTCTATGCATCAGATTCTACAAACCATTCCTGATCATATATTTCCATGCTGATGGTAATACTGTGGCATCCTTGTAACTAAAACATTTTCCAATGAGACTGGATTTATAAATTTCAACTTTTTCCAAACTCAATGCCAGAGTCGGTGAATGCACTGGTGTAACAATCCTGGTCTCAGCCCATTCAACTACTGAACCTCTGTTTGTGCCACTCTGGATAGTGCTGTAGAATAGTGTCCCTTGCTTACATTGTACATGTAAATGGTCTAGTGAATTGATAACCTGATGATGGCCTGTTGATAAGGTTGAAAACATTCATTTAAAACAGTAAAATGATTCTCAGCAATAAGGAGTATGTGTTGTATAACATAGTTTAGATGAAATTAAGTTCATAAATTAATAGCTGTACAAATTTATAATATCTGATGAATCAGTATTTTTGTTTTTATTTATAATTATTGTAACATAAATGCAAATAAAGAAATTGTATTTACATATTTCCTTATTATTAAATCTCAAAAACTTATTTTTATTTTTAAGCATTTAGTTCTTCGTCATATTAATTTGTTGATGGGTTACAGTCCAACAGAAAAAGGCTTTCTCATTCCACCTCATAAATTAAGGTACATCTTAAATGATTTTTATTGTAATAGTGAAATGTAGTTAAAAATTATGTCTGTAAAAATGTATGCTTACTTGATTTTAGTTGTATATATATAACATTTATATATTTACTTACTGTTATGTATTTGGACTTTGGGCTAGATCTGGGCAGCCGTGGGGATTGTGGCCGCAGTATGAGCATGGGAAGCACATGGTCATTTAGTTCCTACGACTGGGAGATGACATGTTATGTTCTTGTTGCTCTGACTAGTTGTAACAAAGACAAACTATAATAAAGAGTGTCTTAGTGTCTAAGTGTGGCTGCTAAACTACAGCAGACACAACACCTACATATCTCTAAAACCAGTTTTAGTTTTATAAACATCAAAATGTTTTCATTATGTTAAAATTAAATTTTCATTTTAACATAATGAAATAACAACATTAATAGGAAATGGTTATCAAATTCTCTTCAAGAAGACAAATTTAGTGTGTATAATTGCTCTCTTTTTCCTATTTTCTTAATTAAAATTATTACTTATTTAATTGAACTGAAAAAGCTCTAGCTGTTTTTATAATATGGGATTTCCTACAGTTATGATTACAAAATTTAATACAGAAGTTTAGTGAAATTTAGTGTATTAAACTTTTAATTAATTGGTTTTATAGTGGTTTATCTAAGTGATTATATATATAAGAATTCCATAGAGAATAATAGAAAATACATTTTACTATTAGAAATTGAATAGAAATCTTAATCTGTAAATCTTCCTCAATTGTTCATATCATGATGCAAAAGAGTTTAATACAATTTTATTGTATAAAAGGTTTTTATTATATTGCTATTTCACCATATTATTATTAACTTCTGATTTTTATTTCAGTCTCTGACATCTTTTTATCAATAATTTTACTTATGAAAAAACTGTAAATATATTGCTTAAAATGCACATTACTATGTAGTCACTCTTCGGCTGCATCATAAATGTGAACTGTTAGTTACATTGCACATTCTGAGATCCTAAAATTACATTGTAAAGTTTACAATTATAGAATTTTTAGAATTACAGATTTCATGTCAAAACTTAAACCTGTATACATCATTTTAATTAATTTAGTTTTGCTTCTTATTACAGCCTTAGCGTAAATTTATAAAAATGTCAAAATTTAAACAAAACACAATATAAGATAATGTATGTTGTTTACTCAGTATTGAAAAATTTACAATTATCTTTGTCTAATGCTATCAGAAAATGAATTATCTGAACTAAATAATGCAATGAATGCACTTGCATTCTTTTTACAGCAGTTGCATGTGGTGATGTTTGATGATAGGGAAGCTGTGTGCTACAGCTTCCCTATCATCAAATGTCTTCCAACAATTCTATCCATGGCCAGTACAGCCATGGATAGAATCGTTGGAAGCATTATATGATATTTTGGTATGTAGCATCGACGAGCTAAGCTGTGTGAGGTTAGTGCTCTGTAAAGCACATGCACGAATGCGTATAATCTGGCTGCTTTACATCATTTAAATATTTTTGGCATGGAAGCTATCCCGTATTCGACAATACAGCACTTNTAACAAGATATTTAAAAAAAATATGTTTCAATAAGTAATAATTGTATTTTTGTAATTCTCTAAAGCTAACCCTCTGTAACAAGAATTTTCTTATTACAATAAAGTATTTGTATTATTATATATTAAAAAATTATGAGTCAATAATGAACTAGTTGCTAATTTTTATTTACAACTAGTTATTAAATTGTAAGTAAGTAAAGTTTATTTTATTTATTAAGTAGAAAAAATCTGATATTATGCTAAATTTACATAAAATGTCTGTCAAATAATACAGTATTTGGAATAATGCAATTATATAAAGTTATATTCATAATGTTGTGATCATAAAATAAGGGAAATTTAAAGTAAAATTTATATTAAAAGCTTACTAGAAATAATAGATTGAAAAATAAAAATTCCTCTTTATAATTGAAAGTTTATTTGTTTTAAAATGTTTTAAGATTATGTACTATTATTATTTGCAGCAATCAACATGCAACAATCTTGTATTTGTTGTCCTTTTAAAGACATTTAAACATCTTTTGTAATAGAAAATTTGGCAAAATTTTAAGAAAAATTGAATATTATCAGTCATCTCTCCTAAGTACAATCATTATTGGATAAATTTATATTTAATATCAATCACTTAGTCAAATGAATGAAAAATTATCAAACGTTACTTTAATTTTTATATTTTAAACGTTTGACTTTATTTAAATATTTAAATTATAAGCAGTTATATAAAAGTGTATCATTTATTTTTTTTGTTTAATCTTTGAATAAATGTAAACAAGTGAATAGCCATTATATTCTTCTCTAACCATTTACAAACAACCAAATCTTAAAAACCTTCAATATGCAGTCGTTTTATTAAATCTTAGCATTAGAAGATTTAATAAAAAGACTGCATATTAAAGGTTTTTAAGGTTTGGTAGCCATTATATCATCGTAGATTATTTATCTAGACATACAATAAATAAACAGAAAAATTATTATTATTTTTTATATTTAGAAACTAAAGTTACTTTCCAATTATCCAATTACTTATTTCTTAAATAATTATAAATTTATTTTAAAATTAATTTTTTGATTTTTAAGTTTGTTAAGTAACAATGAATAATTTACATCTTTTTGAATAAATGGTCTTTTTTTTTTCTAAACCTACAAAAATTTATTATTAATACTAATAATAAAAACAAAAATGAGTTTTCATTTTTATGGATGAAGTTTTATTTCTATCAAAACTGAATTATAATAAAATAATTAAAAGTAATGAGGAATTGCAGAAGACATCCAATTTTAAGATATTGCGTATTAATCAAATACAAATTGTTTTATTAACATTAAAGATGGAAACTAAAATTGTTGTAAAGTGGATTTAAATTTCTAACTTTTTGAAAATTACTCATTTTGATTTAGCAGTTGCTCATTCACTTCTTATTGTTTAAATTCCAAATTAACCTCATTAAATCATAGTGTTAAGTGTTTCTAAGATTTAATGGCAGAGATCATTTATCATCATTTAATGTTATCAAAATCTTTTAGTATAGATAAGTTTGTTTGTTTCAACTATAGAATATTGAGTTACTTTCTTTAAGATCAACAGTTTGAAATCTCTCATCTGATAGAAATAAAGTTTTAATATTTAACAATATAAATATCATAATTGATAGAATAATTGATTTTCTTAGGGACACAAAACTAATTTATTAATGAAGAAAACTAATGAAATAAATTGATTTAGATCTATAAAAGAATAAATATTAATTTGGCTCTCTCAAAAGTTCTGAAACAGAATGGTTCCATTAGTACTATTTCCATTAAAACAGTCTGTCGTGACCTCTCATTATACAAAGATTCAACTGACAAAACTTGATGGTTATATATGTGTGGGTGTTTATATGGTGGTTAAATATTATAAATACTAGTATTAGAAAAAATTACCTATAATTAGAGATAGAATATATTGATGTTATGCATAAGAATTAATGTATATTTGGATTATAAAAATATCTCAATATTATAAAGTTAGAAAAGTTAAAAAGAAAAACATTTAATTTGTTCTTTTAAGTAAAAAATAAAATAAAAACAATAAGATATAAATTTTATATGTAGTAGTAGTAATAATTGTTGATCATAGAGCTTTGAATAAAAATGTTGTATTAATTTAATTTATTTCTTTTATAGGTTTTAGATTTTAATTTTAAAATGGGAACAGTTCTTCTACAGATATGTCTGCCAGTATTAATATATTGTCCTTCTCCACAAAGATATTCTCATGAGCCACAACCTCCAAATTATTCTCTGTGGCTTCTTCATTCATATATTCGTCAGTCATGGTTATTAGCTGTTATGGTTATTATGTATAAGGTATGTTGTTTAAAATTGTATTACTAATAATTTTATATTTTTTTATTTCATAATTTTTTTTATTACAGTATAATTATACTTTACCCCCTCAATCAAAACAAATTGAAATATTAATACATATTATTCTGAATACTTTGAATTCTCATCAGCATCAGTGTAAAAATATTATTGAACCGATTTTTAGTCCAGTTCATTCCAGATCACGAGGTAACACATTCATAAATAAAAATCTCATGCGTAATTTAAATACATTAATGTTAATTTTTCTAAAAATATTCTAGATCTTAGCACTACATTTGATTTAGAGAATATCCAAGAAAGAGGTTCGCCTCCTTTCGAATCCTCTTTAACAGCCGATGAAAGCAAAGTTTCAGTAGTTGGCTCTCAAGCTTATTATTTTAAATTAGGAGGATCCGATGTTGAAGAAAATGAATTTGATAAAGATAATCAAAAGTTCACTAATGATAAATCTGATCGTCAACAATGGAAGATATTGAAACCCTTAGATACAAGTTGTTCTAGTGATGGCGAAGATATGGAACCAGAATTAGAAGCAATACCAGAGAGTCCAAAGTCTGAAACTTCGGATACAAAGAAAGTTATGGAATGCTGTGAATTTAAAGTCATTCCAAGTGAACAACTAACAGAACAAGCTACTGTTAAATTGGTATCTGAAAAAACATCCGTTTCAGAAAAAGTAACTATTTTAGATCCACTTGTTGAATTATCTGCTGAAACACAAGTAATTGTAGACAAAGGGGAAGAAAAGAAGGAAGCCACTAAAGCAAATCTTTTGGATCTCTCCCAAAGTAAACTACTGTATGTTAATAAAGGTCTTTTTGAAGAAAATCATAAAAGTATTAATGAACCACAAATTATTGAAAAATCATTGCATGAGCATATGGAAAAAGATTCAGTTGATAAAAAAGAAAATATCAATCAAAAATTAGATGCTGAGGATGAAAAATCTAATAGTAAAATTCTAGATATTGGTTCAAAGAATGATCATCAACCAGTTGTAAAAGTTGATATTTCATCTGATTCTGTGCATGAAAATAGATATGAAATTTTAAAAAGTCAACAAATTTCTGATATTTCGTCTCATCACAATGACAATATAATGGAAACTTCTGCAGCTGTTAAAGAGAAAGAGGATAAAGATATCATTTCACTACACTCCAAACCAAAATGTATTTTAACTGATGAAAACAAAGATTTAGTACAGGAATTAAGTGAAAAATTAACTGACAAAAAAGTACAAACCAAAGATCTCACAAGTAAACAAGAAAATAAATCTAATTTGAGTGATGAAAATTTCAATAGAAGAGAGCAATGTTTTTCAAGTAAAGAAAAGATCTCAACAACAACTCCAAATGACTCAAATGTTAATTCCAGAGCTCTTACAAGAAAACTTTCTCGAGAATCATATAAAGAATCCATTTCTCAAGCTAATCAAATGTTAAATGAAGATGTAAAGAAAAATATTCAACCAACAACAACAACAGCCAAACCTTGGAAAATAAATTTCCATTCACCAATTGCTCTTCAGTCATTTATGCCTAGGCCTACCTTAGAACGTTTGTTACCTATTGGTTTTACAAAGGAATCTAATGTTCAGAACATTAATGAACTGGATGAACCTAAACATTCTGATGAATCTATTAGTTTAGAAACTTCTGCTGCAGAGGAAACTCAAATATCTCCTGATTCAAGTTTGAGTACCTTACCTGAGTTGATATCATTACAACCACCAAAACCTCAAAATTTGGATGTGCCAATTCCTGAAAGACTTCTTCCAGTAGGTACAGTCAAGAAAGAAAATGAAATGGATGATCAGTCAGAACCAACTGAAGCAGTAGATGTATCTAAATCTGTTGATACTGAAGATAAATCTGGAAATATTGATGACAAAACAATTGATAAAAAGGAAGCTGAAAATACTGTTGGGATTAGTATTGATACTGTAGATTCATCTGTTGAGAATAATATTTTATTAAAGAAAAAATTATCAATAACTTTAGTTAAATCAGATGATGATAAACAAATAAACTCTGTATCTATATTGCTAGATGATAAAGCACAAGTTATAAATGATGAAATAGAAACTCAAGTCCAAAGAGATGCTAATGCAGATTTAAAAATGGGTAGCAACTTGAAAGAGACACAAACAAATCAATTAGATATGAAAATTGAGAATACAAAATATGACATTTTGCATCATTTGAATAAAATGGAATCTATAGAAAATGAAACTGTTGAGAAACATGACCATAATACTCATATTTTGGGTTTAACAAAAGAATCTAAAGAAATATCTGATGATGATAAGTTTAAATTTGGTGAAATACATGTACCATTTCCATGTTTTAGCAAACAAGATAGCATTGAAGGTAAAACAAATGAAGGATCCACTCTTATAGCTGAAGATAGGAGTAAGCAATTTAATTTATTGTAAAAAGTCATATAAATAAAATTTTAAGAAACTTTTCTCTATTAAAATAGTTTCTGACGATACCAAAGGAAGATTACATTATCGTCAACGAAAGCAAAGGAAAACTGGACATAGCAATGTAGAAACGCAGAGAGGTGATATTCATCCAGGGATTTCTAGGTAAATAAATATAATAATAATAATTTTTTATTACTTTTGTAACATTAATGATAAATTATTAAGACGGAGAAAAACTGACTGTGCAAATGTTGGAACTATGGGATATTCATCCAAACGTTCAAGTACAAGTCAACCTTCTAGTGGACGTTATCCTGAGGAGAAGATTCTTGACAGATGTAACGATTGTGGAGGACTATTAGAAGAATACAGTGATGAAGAACTCGGGCTATGCATCATCATTCTATCTACATTTGTACATCGAGAACCAGCATTAGCTGCACCGCTACTCCCAGAGATGCTAAAAGCCGTTGTGAGGTAGTTTAATTATAATTTTAAAAAATGCTGTTTAATAAAATTAAAAAATTAACAACAAATATTCTTCAGAATTGCGTCTGGTTCATTGTACACATGGCAGACTGAAAGGTTAGTCATAAGGTACTTATATCGTTATAAAAAAACTTTTCGATTTTTGTTAAATTTATTTTTTCTTAACAGCAACACACACCTACCTGGAAGTGCAGTCAGTGTAGCTAGACAATTTCTACGTTGTACTCTGCACCAATTAGCACCAAATGATATATTTGTACAAATATTCCAGTCACAATTTGGTAAATTTATTTGATTATATTTTAATTTGTAGAATGTTCTAAAACAATCATTTAAAACTTTATTGAATCAAATTAATAGTTTAAGAATTTTATTTCAGATGTTGAATTCTTCAAAACAATTGCAGCTGCTCTAGCAGATTTTGCTGAACTAAATCAAGTTTCTCCATTATTATTTTTATTTGAGGTAAAGTTGTAAATTATAGCAAAGTCTCAATATAATGCAAAATAGAATATTCAAATAATTCTATATTTCAATAGAAAAAACATGACAAAATTACAAAAAGAAAAATTGAACATAGACATGTGATTTGCATTATATTGGACTTGTATTCATTTGAATGGAATTTTCAAAATTTATTAAGAACATAAAAATTTTTTAATTGCAGAGTTTAAATGAAAGAAAACATCTCTCATATGACACGGTCTCTTTTATCTTGATTAATATAGACATATATTTGAATTGTCTACCTGTTGAGAGCAACATCTTACCTTGGAGTGTTTTTTTGCCACAGTATGAGATCTTTCTACGAAAATTATTGCTCATATTACCAATTGGATCCTGTGATTTAACTCCTGCGATATGTATTACCAAATCTATATTGAAAATGCCAATTATAAATAGTTGCAAAGTAAATAAGCAAAGTTTCATTTAAGATAAACTTAACAATCAATTATATTTGAAATAGTAATATAAATCACATTTTATAGTCTATCCTAGATCCGTTATCAAAGATTCTTTGCCATGCTATTCAGTATTCTTCACTACATTATACTGACTTGCTGGATATAGTTCAACTCTGTAATCGCAACCTTGCAAGAGTAAAAGTTTATTTGATATAAACATATTAACATAGATATTATTAAGTTTTAATCTAATATAAACATTTCAGGAACGTGATAAGCAGACTTTGGCACGCACAATAGTTTTCGAACTAGTACAAACATTGAAGTTCAAATCTACTATTCCTGATGAAAACCTTTTAATTCTTCTTCAGGTAAATAAAATAATTCATGTTAATAATATAAATTTAGAACAGTTATAATTTTATTTATTTACTACTGCAGCTTATTTTACAAGATGCAGGAGGAGTACTTGTTCCAAATGTTATTGTTGATAACATTTCTTCAGATATGCAAAACATAGTAAGTTAAAAAACATTTATTTCTTCAAATTTATAAATTTTATAATTAAAATTCAGTATTGATATTCAAAAAATCAAAATAGTATTTATCAGCCCAACTTTATTAATGAAGAAAATTAACAATTTCTTCATATAAAAAAACTGTATTTTAATTTTAAAATTTTAATTACTTATTTATCTTTTAGTTTCAATACTTACGTTTTAGTTTCAAAGTAACTTATAAATACATAAATAAAAAGCCATCAGTTTAACAAATTCTAAACTTGTATATATTGTCAACCTTAGCTAATTGGACACTCCAGATAAATGGCCATGTTTTCCCAGTTACATTAATAATAAATAGATGCTAATGTAATTTACTCCTTGTTAATTCATTATGAGATCCAACCATAACTCCAGTTAATTAGTCAAAGTTAAAGTTAATAAACAGAAAATTTTGACCTTATCTCAACTTTATGAAAAATATACTTTTTAAAAAAGCAGATAGCTGAAGGATAAGGATTTCATTGTTTTTTTATTTAACTCTTTCTTCCCTCAAGTACTGTAAATCCATTTAATTCTGTTCATCATGGTTTCAGCCAAACTCACAATCAGGATGAGACTGGACATATCAAGATTAACTCATCCATAAACTTTCTGATATGGATTCAAACTTAGGTCTCCAGAGTGGCAAACCAGTCATCTGCCTTTACTACTTGTCATGTAGCCACTGGATTCCAGCATTTTGTAGAAACAATGATAATGTTTTATAGAAACAGAGATAATGAGAATTCATTATCTCTGTTGTTCATTGTTCAGTGCATCTCAAATGACTTTGCAACATCTATGTCTTTCAAATGAATGTAAATAAAATTGTTCCATTGGGGATATCAGTAATGAAGTCTAAAGCTTTGTCCACACCTTCTGAAAAAGGGATGCAGAAAAGCTCTTATTAATGGCATTGAATAGACACAGATATTGTGTCTATTCAATGCCAGACACAGATATATTGTATTTAAAAATAGTTTTTTTTTTTTTTTTTTTTTTTTTTTTCCTCCTAAGTATGCTTTTTTGTACAACTCTTACTTTCCTGTATACTTTTAAATTACAATTTTAAAAATTTGGCTACTTTGATGTTTTTTTATAGTTGTTTTGGCTATTTTTTTGCTAAGAATATCCAGCTGCAAACACATTAATGTTTTCTGAGTAAGTTTGGCAATGTAGCATATGATGTTCAGCTTGGATGTTGTGGAAATGAAAACTTGTATCTTAGTCTTTCACTATCACTATGACAAATCAAACTGAGGACAACTTTTCAGACAAAATTAAATAATAATCTATCAGTAATAATACATGTAATTACCTAAATTGACCATTATATGTTATTTGTAACTAAACAAAGAATTTTGAAAGAGGTAAATTTAATATATTGCAGCATAGTACTGGACTAAGTGAATGCATGCGTCAGCATTTGAATGATGCTTTGGAGTTTGTTGCAGATGTTCATGCTCTTACAAAGCTCAAGGTTAGTACAATTATTCATATATATAATATTTTTTAATTTCAATTTTTAAATATTTTGTCTTTACAAATCAGAGCAATTTTCATGGAACTTCCAATCATTTAAATGAAGAAACTCTAGGAGGTCAGTTAAAATCTGGAGTGGCTCAGTATCTTGCTATCGAAATAAGTAAGGGCAATGGACGAGACAATCGTGCAATCGGAAAATATTTACCATGGCTTTACCACCCTCCATCACTTGTCCAGCAAGGGTAAAGTTTAAAAATTAAAACAAATTATGATATAAATAGTTATTATTTAGTTATTCATCTTAATGAGTCAATAACTTCTATAAATTTAGTCCTAAAGAATTCATAGATTGCGTTGCACACATTCGTCTTCTATCATGGTTACTACTTGGAGCTCTTATGCACAGTGCACTGCTACAAAATGTAGCAAGTTTTCTCTGTCAACCCGTACCAATGGAAGCCAATGGACATATTGCCGAGCATATTCAAGTTATACTTGCAGGATTTGCTGAACAATCCAAGGTAATTTTATGTTTCTGTTAGACAAATTGTTATTATATTATATTGTTAACTTAAAATTGTTATATTATTTAGGCATCAGTGCTTCACATGTCTTCTCTCTTCCATGCATTTATTTTGTGCCAAGTAAGTCTAAATGCTTTCAAGTAAAATGCATTAGACATATAGTATAATTTAAAATAATTTAAATTTCAGTTATGGACAATGTATTGTGAACATATGATATTTCTCAATCCTCCTGGAAGTGAACAAAATCAGATGTATTCATTAAGTTTGACAGATTTTTGGGCCAAAGTCACTCCTGGAATTCTTCAACTGATATGCCATTCAAAAGTGGTAAGTTAGAATTTATTGTAGAATCCTATAAAAACGATTAATTAAAACCAGTTGTACTGTACATTTACTACACAAAGTATTGATATTTTTAAATGCTACCTATTTAGGAAGGAAATTTTCAGGTTTGGTTTGCAATGCATGATTGAAGAATACTTTAAAAATAATAAATAAAATATCCATACTTATGAATAATTTTTTATATTTTTTATAATTACAGTTGGCAGAAATGGTTAGTTTGCATTTTCTTAGTTTAATGGAAGCATTAATGGAATGCAACTCAACAGTATTAGCTCGAGTATGTATGCTTCTAATTATAATTATCAATGTTATGATGTACAAAATATCTTTATTATTACGTACAAAAAGATATAAATTTTTATTTCTTTGATTAATTTCATATACCTGTTATATGAGTGATTGAAACTTTATAAAAAGGAAAAACAAATTTTTAAAAAGTACTTTGATTTCAAATGCATTATATGAAAATTAAATTTAAAAATTAGAATAATAAAAATAATAAAATTTGAATGACATCAGATAGAATATATTGATGTTATGCATAAGAATTAATGTATATTTGGATTATAAAAATATCTCAATATTATAAAGTTAGAAAAGTTAAAAAGAAAAACATTTAATTTGTTCTTTTAAGTAAAAAATAAAATAAAAACAATAAGATATTNAATTTAGATTTATATACAATTGAACTGAGTTATAATGAGTTCAGAGCTATAACAAACAAAATGCCATAACAATTTTAATTTACATGTATTTCCACACATTTTCTCACGATTATAACAAGAATACTTCATGGATATACCAAGCAAATCTTTGGTAGCTATGCAAACACAAAAACATTCTTAATTGTTCAAGTAGTAAGAAATGTGATACCAACTTCTTGGAAGAGGTGAAACTGAAAGGATTACTTAGTTTAAAACTAAAAGACCCTTTTAGTTTTATCACCACTGGATAATTAGTTTTACAACCTGCATTGATTACAGGCCTATTTATCACTTTTGTTTTGGAGACTGTCTCCCTCTTTCTTGACTGAATTCCAGTCCTACTCTGCCTATTTACCTAATCATCACTATGATTGCAAAATTATTGTATACTCTAGTTAGAAATGATATAACATAATTAAAGGTATTTTGTTTTTTTGGAATTAACTTATTTAGAATTAAAAATTAAAAGATAGATTTCACTAATTATCAGTGATGTAGCTGCAAATTTTGCCATTCTTGGGATGCCTCCAAAAATATTTTGATATCTTGCCAGTCATGGCAAGATATCAAAATATTGCAATTTGTTTAAATGTTATAATTGTGAGAAAATGTGTGGAAATACATGTAAATTAAAATTGTTATGGCATTTTGTTTGTTATAGATAAATACTGAAGAATATTTTAAAATATCATGTTAAACAGAAACTCTGTTGTGTAAAACAAATTCTTTTCATATAGAATGATTTTGGCCTAATAAAGTCAAAAAAAAATATATTTGAGTACCAAATATTGCTATTCCAAGGAAGGAAATTCCAAGTTGACAAGTTTCTGGAACCAGTGTTCTGGTGTAGTCCATCTAGATATGCCACACAGTCTGCACAGTGTCCCAAAAATTCTCAGATTAGTTTCAAATCTAATGAGGATCAGGCAGAAGTTGCTTTATGATTTATAAGGCTCTAGGCAAAATTTAATTTTGAAGCCCATTAAGAGAGTGTAGTAGATTTATTTAGGTTTCCATATTTAAAAAATTTTTATATTATTGTAACAGATAGTAAAACAAAGAATAAAGCAATAAAAATGTGTACAATAGTTTTATAATGAATTAGAAAATTAGATAGGTGTACAGAAATTTTCCTACANAAGTCCATTAAGAGAGTGTAGTAGATTTATTTAGGTTTCCATATTTAAAAAATTTTTATATTATTGTAACAGATAGTAAAACAAAGAATAAAGCAATAAAAATGTGTACAATAGTTTTATAATGAATTAGAAAATTAGATAGGTGTACAGAAATTTTCCTACAAAACTGTTCTCCTGCTTTTAGCAATGTTGCATTAATCAATTACAGGAAAAAACTCCAGTTCTGCAGCAATATCTCTTTCAATACACAAAATTGAAAGTGAAAGAAAGAAAGTCTCTCTACACATTGTTGATCAAGATAGATTTTGATCAATTTTAACTTTGAAAATGATCTTTCTTCAGATGAATGGATACTGGTATAATTATATTTTCAATAATTACCAATTTGATGATTTAAATATTAAATTATACTACCAAATTTGTGAGGCCCTAGGCATTGCTTTTTTCCCTTTATGTAGGGCCATCTCTGGTGTAAGGACCCAAGGAAGCACCAGGAAGTCAATTTGGAATGTCCCTTGAACCAGTTACCTGTGTATTATTTAACCCATACTTGCCATTCTTAATCCTCTGCCCACCAAGATACTAAAACAAATTTTCTACTGTTGTACTCATACATGCCATCCAATCTCTGTTCGACTCCATGTCCAGGCAGATAAGTGTTGTTATTGCTGCCAAAGGTGACTATTCTGGGTATTGATTTCTCAAGATCTATACCTCCAAATTTCAATAGTGGGACGAACAAATTTAATTATTTGTTCTTCCCACTATAATGTATGTGTCTAATAAATATCATTCTGTTTTTTGCATTCCCTCCTGGTGTGGCAATTTTAATGGCCAGTAGTGTATTTCCAAACAAGCCCTTAAAACAGAGTTGTCTTGACAGGTTCCCATTACAGAACATCACTACTGACCATCTTTGTTCAACTTTATATTCCATCTATTTCCTGGTGGAGATGATTGTTTCAGCAGAACAATATCACTCCACATAATGCACAGGTAACTTTTTTCTTATTTGTGTTTTTAGGCCCCCTACTGCTCAGGGAGCACAAAGAGGCCAAGAATGTTATATATTGAAGTGTTTTGGGGTTAGTGTCCCTAAATGGGCTTGTAGGGATCATAGATACTAGTCCATTGTGAAGGCTCATAATTTTACGTTTTATTTGTTATGTTTTGGTTTTATTCTGTATGGTATGTTCTATGTACTGCTTTGCTAACTTACCCATATTTTTGATGATCAAGAAGAAGGGAAAGGTAGACAGGATAGTTGCAGTTTGCAACCCAGCACCACCTAACCTAATGAATTTTTGGATGTTTCAAAGTGGTTGAAGTAGAGAGGCCACAGTGAAGAATCCAGCGATAAAGATTTCCAGCAAATTTGAAATAGAGAATTTTGAAGGGGCTAAATACTACTACTGGTATTAGCTACAGCCTTCTGGGAGGTCTGTAAAGTTAAAGGGGCAGCTGGTCCCCATTAGGAGAGAAAAGAGGTGGAGGAAACCTGGAAAAACTCCACCAGCCAGCTGAGGGAAAAGCCAAAAATATAATTACTAAATGCATGGGGGAAAAAACGAAAAGGGAATACTGGAAAACCTTACCGAGAATAGATGAAATAGTGTAATAACGGAAGATGAAGATAAGATTCACCACACAATCTCCAACAGGTGTGTAGCTTTGTGTGGTGAAGAAGGCCGACAATGAATCATGGTGAGTCTTGAAGTAGTTTAATGTGATTCCATTCTGACTTGCTGTTGTAGATCGTTGATGCTGGATGGTGAGAGCGGATCAGGCAGCGCAGTGGGAAAGAGAAGGATGGGAAGTATATCACCGATTGAAAATGATTAAAATGGATGGTAGCTGCAAAAGGATAAATAATTGGAAGGTGGAAAGAAATTTGTTTTAGTATCTTGGTGGGCAGAGAAGGAGTAAGAATGGCAAGTATGGGTTAAATAATGCACAGGTAACTGGTTCAAGGGACATTCCAAATTGACTTCCTGGTGCTTCCTTGGGTCCTTACACCAGAGATGGCCTACATAAAGGGAAAAAAGCAATGCCTAGGGCCTCACAAATTTGGTAGTATAATTTAGTATTTAAATCATCAAATTGGTAATTATTGAAAATATAATTATACCACCAAAAAAGTTATAAAAATTCAATGGAGTCAGAAAATTTCTTCTTTTGTTTTCTTACATAAAATGTAAAATTACGAAAAAATTATATTTTTCTTTCCTTTCTGACTTTTGGATAATATAAAACTTCAATTTTTCAAAAAAACAAGCCAATAATGACTATAAAATCTTTAAAAAACAGAGTTTAAAAAGTTTTACGTCGGTGAAACAAAACGAAGATTAAGGATCAGACTGTCGGAACATTTGGCTGCCGTAAGGTTGAAAATGAGTAATTCTCCTGTCTTCCAACATTGTAATAGTAATAATTGTCAGATTAATATTAATAAATTAAAAATAATTTTTAAGGAAAAAAATATTGTAAAGCGAAAGGTAAAAGAACACTTCGCTATAATTATGCAAAACAATAATGTTAATTTAAATACCGGAATGTTAACAGCGGCATGCTGGGAGTTTTTTGTTAACTGTATAAGTGGCTCTTCAATGAGTTGACTGTTTGAACGTAGATTTTGTGCTGTAAGCCCCACTGAAGAGGCCATAGGCGAAATGCATTTGGGAAGCTTGTTAGTAATGATGTAAATAAAAATTTTTTTCTCTGCAGATTATTTTCTTTTTTATACCTTTTTAAACTCTGCTTTTTAAAGATTTTATAGTCATTACTGGCTTGTTTTTTTGAAAAATTGAAGTTTTATATTATCCAAAAGTCAGAAAGGAAAGAAAAATATAATTTTTTCGTAATTTTACATTTTATGTAAGAAAACAAAAGAAATAATTATACCAGTATCCATTCATCTGAAGAAAGATCATTTTCAAAGTTAAAATTGATCAAAATCTATCTTGATCAACAATGTGTAGAGAGACTTTCTTTCTTTCACTTTCAATTTTGTGTATTGAAAGAGATATTGCTGCAGAACTGGAGTTTTTTCCTGTAATTGATTAATGCAACGTTGCTAAAAGCAGGAGAACAGTTTTGTAGGAAAATTTCTATACACCTATCTAATTTTCTAATTCATTATAAAACTATTGTAATATTTTTATTGCTTTATTCTTTGTTTTACTATCTGTTACAATAATATAAAAAATTTTTAAATATGGAAACCTAAATAAATCTACTACACTCTCTTAATGGACTTCAAAAATAAATTTTGCCTAGAGCCTTATAAATCATAAAGCAACTTATGCCTGATCCTCATTAGGTTTGAAACTAATCTGAGCATTTTTGGGACACTGTGCAGACTGTGCGGCATATCTAGATGGACTACACCTGCACACTGGTTCCAGAAACTTGTCAACTTGTTTGATATATAAACTGAAGGGCCAAAAATAAGAGAATAAACTAATAATGCATAGCCCCTTCTTTTGACTGTAGAAGTTTTTATTAAAAATTGTTTCCAATAGTTATAAAAATAAAATGGTGTATTTTTGTTAGCTTTTGAAATGTAATCTTTTTTGTATTGGTTCTTAGTACTACATAACATGATTTTATAACAATCTAACTAGTGTCTTATATGAGAATTGCCTATGTGGTTAGCATACAACATCTGTTCAAAAAATACAGGGACTGACATCATAAAACAAAATGTACTTTATGTAGAAATTACATGTCTGGGTCCCATTCAAAGTACTCTCCTTTCCAACGCACACACTTATCCCAACAGTGTTTCCACTTGTTGAAACAGTCCTGGTACACTTCTTTTGTAATGTCCTTTCAGCGCCTTCGTCGCATTTGCCTTAATCTCGGGAATCGTCTCAAAGCTTCTTCCTTTCAAGTGTCTTCTGAGTTTGGGGAACAAGAAAAAGTCACAAGGAGCAAGATCAAGTGAATAGGGGGTGGGGAAGAACAGTGATCGAATGTTTGGCCAAAAACTCACGAGTTCTGAGGGCTGAATGGGCTGGAGCATTGTCATGATGGAGAAACCAGTCGCCACTCCTCCACATTTCTGGCCTTTTGCGACGGATGGCGTCCCTCAGACATTTCAGAATTTCAATGTAGTATGTCTGGTTCACTGTGGAGTCTTGGGGGAGGTACTTGTGGTGAACAACACCCTTAGCATCACCTTGACATTAGATCGAACTTGGCAAGCTTTTTTGGGTTTGGGGGACCACTTAAAATATGCCGTATGCTTCATAGCAATATCACCATAAGCCATGTTGAGCATAGCAAATGTTTCAGTCACAGATTTTTCAAGTTTAACACAAAATTTCACAGCAAGTCGCTGCTCCATCAGATCATTCATTCTGAAATCCAACAAACAAAAAAAATCGCACTTCACTAAAAACTGCGTAGCTAATCAACAAATAAAGATATCTGTAATCGGGAAATGGCTTTATCACAAGATGATCTATACAAACCAAGCAGATTTCCTGGAACCAACTGGAGCCATGCAATTCAAACATCAGTGTATTTTTTTGAACAAACCTTGTATATACTTGGAAATTCAGTTACATGTCATAAACTCAGATTATGAAAAATGTAATGGTTTGTTTAATGATTTTCTATAATTCTTGTAAATAGTTACTTTTAATGAATACTAAGGATAAGAAAATATTTTATTTGCAGCTACTACCTATGTGGACTCCAGTTTTATATAGTTATCAAGGACAGGTATTTATCTTTTTTTTTTCTTTTTAAATTCTACTAGTAATCATCTTTTAATTGTCATTTCTTAATCAAAAAATAAATAATATATTTACATTTAATCTGATTTTATGCTTTCAATTCTTATATTGAAAATAATAAAATAAATTTTATATTGATCAGTTAAAAATCTGTAATAGCATCAAAATAGAAGTATACTTTCCTCATTAAAGATAAAATCTGTCAGTTTTTATTGCACAATAATTTTGGCATATAATCAATATGAAGACAGTTAAGAGAATTAGTCAGTTTGTTTGTGTTAATATTAAAAGTGCTATTTTGTAAATTTAAAATACTTTGAATGTAGTCATGTGTGGGACGCTGGAGGCATGACGAGGTCATATCTCTTTTTTTCGGCAACAGTTTGGTGAAAACTGCCCACTTGTCAGTGGATGACTTATTTACTTTTACTATCCCGAAGGGTCAGGATTCTTTTTGTCAGGTCGAGTGGAGGAGAAGAGAGGGGTTGTCGGTAAGGCGTCAGCGATATCCTAATAAAGAACACTATTAACAATCAAAAACAAAAAATTTATTGGATAACAATCACACGTTCACAATATCTACATCGACTGGCTATCGAGATTTTCTAACTGAATACAAGAAAGGGGCCAAGAGAGAGTTTACATGTTCAATCTCGTACCTCTTGATTATTCCCACCTGGAGGCAAGAATTCCAAGAATCTCAACTCAATGCCGTAGCCCACACTTAGTAAAAATTCTGACAATAGCTCATCAGTAGGGTCCAGCTTCTACTCATCCACCGTTGGTGGGAGACTCCCTCTTGAGGGGGAAGAAGCAGTTTTTATAGCTTCATGGTGGGAAAATATGTCATGTGATGTCCTATTGTGGAAGGAAAAGGTTATTGGAGCTGGTGTGGAGTGGAGGCTAAAGATGTTACCGGGATCAAAATAAAGTAATGAATTCGGACTTTAATTGTAAACTTATCTTGCAATACTAGCTTTATGATGTTTATGAGAAGAGAATGTTGACATTTTTGGAGGAGGGTTGTTTATTTTCCCAATGAAATGTTTTTTCTCATTCCTTAGACCAGTGGTTCCCACCTTTTTTTCATTAGCATACCCACGTGACATTTCCAACTTCCCAGCGAGCAACGCATGCACAAATCTCACATTGCCTGCTTGTAGAGTGTGTCGCCATTTTGAATTTTATTTCGATTTGGTTCTTGGTCCCCTGAGTACCTACAAGTCTGGCTTTTTTATGTGCACCTAATACTTTCTGCCAAATTGCAACTTTTGGCATGTACACCTTCATACCTCTAAGATGGTAACACAGCAGGCAGTACAATTTTATAAACAAGACATAGTCTTGTCAATAAAAAATTAATAAAAATACTGAATAAATAATGAAAAAAATTACCACTTGTAGAGAAAATCTGGAGAAACTAGCTATGTCCTTTTCCTTGCTAACAATAAAAAATACTTTTCTCAAACAACACATGGGGATATTGTTGAGAGATAATAATAATAACGGTAACAAACCCCACCATCAAAAGTCTGTAGCATAATCACTAATCACACATAATGGTATCCCCACTACCATTGACCGACTCCGCAACATTTATTGATCTGTTGCATTGTACAATTAGCAGCATAAGTTTTTATTTCTATTTTTGCATTTTGAAATGTATAATAGTTTGTGATTGTTGCAAGGAACATTTTTTACCTAATAATTGTTTAATACTATTAATTTGGGATACATAATATAGTTATTATGGCAGAAAAAATAACAACTTTTTTCTGTACCCCTAAACAACCTATCGCGCACCCCAGGTTGGGAATCACTGCCTTAAACAAAAGAAGGGGAAATAATTAGGAAAAAATATCCTCAAAAATTCCAGATCTCACATTCGTATAGCTTGAAAAATGCTTGTTAATTAGTTGATAACAATAATTAATTGTTAATAACTTGAGAAATGTGCAGCAGATTGCTGCACATTTCTCAAGTCATGCAATAATTTAATGATCAATTAATATAAAGAGAAAATTAAAAATATTGAAATATTGCAGATAATCAGCATATTTTTGGAAATAACAACAATTACAATTGGAAGTACAGGTAACCCCCGTATAGCACGGCACTTCTGTAGCACGGATTCGCTCTAACACGGTTCGAGAATTGGTACCATCCCCCGTATAACACGGTACTTTTATAGCACGGATTCACTCTGACACGGTTCGAGAATTGGGTAAAACCCTCGTACAACAGGAAATGTAATAAATTTTTACATACTTAACTAATAATAGTTCACGAAAATTATTATTTTCGTGAACTATTAGTACTTAAGTATGTAAATTTTCTCTTCTCGCCTTCTGTCGATACACGTGGTCCTTCTCGAAACTTGTTTCAATGTTGCCAGATCGCGACGCTTCTGCTTCTGATGTTGCCGAATGTTTTTCCCTTATTCCATACTTGCTTTATTCTTCATAAGTGCTTAGCACCATATAAGGAAATTTATAAAGACCTTTTAACTAGAAGCAAGCAATCTAAAATTACATACATTTTGCAAAAGGTAAAGCATGGATCTGAAGATAATGCAGAAAAATGCTCAGAGGATAAGGATAACTTGCCAAAAAGAAAACGCTCTCGGTTAATTAATAGTGTTTTTAGTGATGACGAAGAAAACATTGTTTAATTTATATTAATATGTATCACTTAAAAAAATTTTAATGAAGATATTTATCTTAATTATGAAAATATACTAGCATGTTTTTTAATTTTTGGAACCTAACCCTCCTTTTCGTATTAGTTCTTTGTTTCGTATAACACGGATTCGCATAACACGGCAATTTTTTGGAACGTAACTACCGTGTTATACGGGGATTACCTGTACTTATTTTACTGTTAAATTTTAATTTATGGTAGCAAGTTATTTAATTTTAAATTATTTTTTTATCATCAATGTAAATAAATAAAATATAGTAATCCCTCCATTTATTTGAGTAATTGGCTCCATGGAAAGCTGTTTAAAATAGGGATCTGATTCATATTCTCAAATACAGCATTTTACTCTTAAGTAATGGGGTAGAATGTTTTTTTTTAATATACATCTATACAAGAGGTTACTGATAACAAAAACGCACTTTATGGAAATAAATGATAATTACATCAAAAAGTTGAAAAATTTTTTACTTTTAAATTGCAAATTCACTTTGAGGGATTACTAAGTAAATAAGTAGTCTATATAAACATATATGGTTCATTGACACATATCTCTTCTACATGCTATTTGCAGAAATTTATTTCTTCATTGTTTATGAATTTGAAAAATCCTCGAACTATTGGGTTGATGCGAAAGTTTCTGGAATTTTCTAGACCTGTCTAGAATATTCAAAATTGTTCTCCGATAGATGGTATCAAGAAGTACACTGCTAACAAAAATTAGGGGATATTTAAAAATGAATATGAAGTGATATCAAATGATTCTATTAAACAAGAATATCAGAAAAACAAATGACAAGTCAAAGAAAGTTGTTCGATTATGCAAATGAGATGCAAAACCAACTTTTATTTCATTGGTAAAAATGCACTATATAAAAGGCTGAAAGTACTGGTATATCTGCATGTTTCTGATCTTGAAAGTATACATCCTGCAAAACACCTGCAACACAATTTGCCCAAATGCAAAGCCTGGAAAGCCATAAGATGTCTTGAAGCTGGTCAAACACAGAAGACAGTGGCAACAGCACTTGGAACATCCCAAAGCATGATTAGCAGACTATGGAATTGCTTTCAAGAGACTGGTAGAGTATGAAGAAGACGAAAGCAAGGTTGCCCATCTGCCACAACAGCAACAGATGACTGCTATTTAAGCTTATTGGCAAGAAGGAACAGGCACAGCAATACAACAGAGCTGTGGGGACAGTTTCTTGCTGTTACTAGACGATGGATAAGCACCCAGACTGTATAAAAATGGCTCCATTGTGTTGGACTGCATGCCTGGTGACCAATGGTATGCATTTTGTTATCTGCTGAACATCATAGAACCCGCAAAAGGTAGGCTGATGAGTATCATCATTGGACCTGTGATGAGTGGTCAACTGTCTTCTCTAATGAGTCATGTTTCAGTCTGCAGCCTGACAATCATCACGTCTTGATCTGGTGTGAATGAGGAACATGGGAGAATCCATGTTTCATGCGGGAAAGGAACTCCTTCTGTGGTGGTGGTGAATCATAGTGTGGGTTGGCATCAGCATTGGTGGTCATACTGACCTCCATGTCATCAGAAAAGGATTGCTGACTGCTGTCAGATATTGAAATGAGGTCCTGCACCCTATAGTAGTACCCTATGCTGGAGCAGTTGGAAACAACTTTCTTTTCATGAATGATTGATGAGATGTGCACAGTGGGTCTTGCATAATGTGCTTCAGGAGGCAGGAATTGAATGCATGGAGTGGCCTTCATGTTCTCCGGACCTGAATCCCATTGAACATGCTTGGGATGCACTAGGAAGATGTCTGGCAAACTATCCAATGTCTCCCACAACACTTCTTGAGCTAGAAATTGCCCTGGAGCAAGAGTCGCAGGGGATCCCACAAGGACTGTTGGACAATTGATGTTGTCCATGCCCCATCGCTGCCAATGTGTTTTGGCAGTCTTGGGTGACCATACACCTTACTGAACAGTCAACATGTGGCACTCTTGTCCAGTTTGATATGTTTCTGTTTACTCCACAATCATGATAATTGACTTTGCATAATGGAACAACTTTCTTTGATTTGTTTGCTTTTCTGATGTTCTTGTTTAATAAAATAAAAATCAAATGCTTCATATTCATTTTGAAATATCCCCTAATTTTTGTGAGCAGCACATTTTGTGGGATTTGTAAATGCCCAAACATGCAAGAAATGAGCAAGGCACTTTGAACTACAGTGGATTGGTCACAACTTTCATAAATTAACATTGTGCACTTTCTTCCTGACAACACAAGACCACAAAGTATCAAGGTTCACCCAGCAGAAGCTACTTAGTCTCAGCTGGGAAACTTTCCTTCACCCCTTGTATTTCCCAGATATTGTACCATCCAACTATCATCTCTTCCGCTCCATGCAACACTTCTTGGATGGAAGGCAGTTTGCTGATGACAGGGCAATGAAAATTGCAGAGTTCTTCGAGTCAAAACAGCATGAGCTTTATTTGGCAAGAATCCTCAATCGATGGAAGAAGGTGCTTGAATGTAATGGCAATTATTTTCTCCAAATAAATGTTGTGCCATAGAACTAGAAAATTCCAGAAACTTTCACCTCACCCAATACCTGTATATTAAATAATTAAATAAATATTTCAAGTAATTAAATTTATTTTAATACAATGTAGCAATTATTGTAATTCACAATGAAAATAGTTGGTAAAAATTATTACAGCATATTTTTTGTTTTAGTTTCAGATTTGTAAGTACTGTGAAAACATAACCTCAATTTTCTGTATTAAACTTTAAAGTTTAATACAGAACTGTTGTTCACTAGGGATAACAATAATTATATCATATAATTAACAACAAACTGTATTTCCACACATAAGAGCATGTTCTTAGTCATAGTGTGACTAAATGTTCCCAATTTTGCAGAATCAGTCTTGGAATACAGCAATTTTATTAATATGCTAATATAATAGCACCAATTTATAGATCAATAAATTTTAAAAGGTAACTGAAGTTCAATCAGTTTTATACTCCCATTTTCACCAATTCTGAAATGTGTCCACCTATATAACAGAGCAAAATTGGCACCATGCTGCACAATGTACCTAAAAAATCCTGACCACAGTATTTTCAAAGCAACTTTTATATTATTGTAAGAATTTTTTTATTTTGGCTATGCATTTACATTGATACTGCACTGTAGTGTTCTTGTGTGTGCCAGCTTGCTTTTACTTATAAGACCATGCTCTTGTAAGTGGGATGTGTTTCAAAAATGCAAAAACAAGGCTTTCACTTATTTGGAAGTGCATTATAATTTCCTTAATGTTAAAATAAAAGTTTCTAATTATTATTTTCTATGCAGAAAATACTTATTCTTCATTTATGTTGACAATTTATTAATTATGGAAGCCATATTGTGTAAATTAATACAATAAAACTTTTTAATGGTGAACGATATTAAATTTATTATTTCAAACACTAACATAATTAAGCAATTAGATCTATTTAAGTATACAAAAACTCAAACTTTAATAAAATAAATAATGAAGTAAAATAAAAATAATTAATTGCTGTAATAATTCAAAGGTCACCTTTATTTAGAGGCCATTTTGTATCCCAAAAATGACCTTTTAAAACAGTTTCCAGTGTTAGTATATTTCACAAATGTAATGAATAGTTTGTTTTACTTCAACAAATAAAATTTGAGAAAATTTTCTCAAATATCTAATTCATCTGCAAATTGTAGGTATTAATAGATAATTATACAGTAAGATATGTTTTTGTTGTTAACAAAACAGATTACAACTACATTCATTATATAGAATTTTACAAGCAAAAGAATTATGACATAAAAAAAAATTGTCATCAGTTGTGTATTGCTTATATTAAGGCTGATTATTAATGAGCCTTAATATAACCCAATAAAAACTGGCAGATTATTTGGTAATTCTTAACCTTAACAATCCTTGTAAATTTTTTTTAATCCTTAAAAACGTTTTTAAAATCTTGCATTAAATGCTTTTATAAATTCTGATGATGATATCTTTGATCGTAGGGAGCAAATTGAAAAAGATTAACATAAATTGATAAACTATTTTTGTTACTGCTGCTGAAAATTACCTTGAATGCTTTTCTTTTCCATTGTTAGCTCCCCGGTCACTTACAAGTCCGACTACACAATTGTCTCAATTGGAAACCTCCCGTTCAGGGTCAGGATCTGGCAATGACATTATTGAAGTGGCTGCAAAGACTACAATTCAAAATGGGTCAGATTGAACTCCAGTCGTCCGCAGCTACTCAATTTTATTCCTTATGAATGTCCTTCAAAATAATTTGGAAGAGCAGTTCGTTGTTTTAGACTAGTCATTATGTCTGTGACTATGTGATACAGAAACGTATATACATACTAAAATGTGTTTATTTTAACCAAAGTGTCGAAGAGAGATTCTATTTTGTGCCAATTCTGCAACATTTTTCTTCCATTTTAAATGCTGCATGGAGATGCTTTTAAGGAAATTCTTTTAAACGACTAGAAAACCCGCACACATATTTATGAATTGCCAAACAATTTGTGTCTTCCAGACCGTCAAGAACAAATTTTAATTGCAGAATTAAACGCTACAATAACTCCGACAGCGCTTTAGAAATGCCAGTTAAGCAACAGTATTTTCATGTGGTATGAGCTTATTTTAAAATCATCGTTGTTGTTGTTGTTTTAAATGTATTTATAGAGTATTTATAAAAAAGATTATCTGTATAATTCAATGTTAAATGAAAGTAGAAATATGTATACACAGTTAAGAATAAAAATGTTTATGAGAAAAATAATTACCTGGAAAGATTTCATCTTTATTTATATATAAATATTACACAATAGATTGTAACAATTCTTAATCTTCCAAAACTCTGGTGGTACATCAATTTGTTATGAATCTTCAAGAAATAAAATTTTGATGAGGCATCTGTCCTTTCCGTCAATCCACGTAATTATAAAAACAAATATGCTTGCAGATTAATAATTTAAACAAAAATATAACAAAATTATATTGATCAAATTTTAAAATGCAAGGCTTGCCTCCCTGTTTGTGTAGAATTACAATACTATTGTGACTAGACTGGTATCTCAAACTTGACCTTCAAAATGTACAAATTTGGTCCCATAATATATAACAATGAATTTAATATATTATGAATGTTTATTTTTTTGTTTTCTTTCCTCCCTGCAAGAGAAAAAAACAAATTGAATATATAAATATTTCAGACAGGAATTTTCAACTACTACTCACTGTATATTTCATAATTTCAAGCTCTTCACTCTGTTCTGTTATTTTTTCATTTAGTTCTGCTAAGTGGTCACTCATTGTGCTCAACTGATTTTCATACATGGTAACTCTTGTTTTTAACTCGTCCTTAATGTATGGTAATTTCTTTTAAAAAATAATAATAATATCTTTATAAATAAATAAATAAATATTACCTGTAACTGAGAGAGATTATATTGACAATCTGCATAATCTTTCTCCAGTTTCTGATAAGACTGTTTAGCTAAATTGAGTTTTTGATTTAGAAATATATTCTGAAAAATCAAGATTCTATTGTAGTCAGTTCAAACAAATAAAAGAAACCAACACTACCAATCCTAACTTACTTCCGTATAAAAAGCAACGGCTTTACTATCAGCTATTTGTAATTCGCCTAACAGTTGGTCCTTCTTCGCCTTAAACAAATGATGGATGTCTTTGTTGTCCGTTGTGTTATCAATCCCGTCAACCTAATTAATAGAAAAATAACAACATTTTAAGAAAATAATCCAATAAAGTTATTTTAAATCTAATCTATAATTTGCTTAATGAAAACAAATCATGCAAACTATTTTGTATGTAATATTTATTAATTACAACTTCATCTTACTCATTAGGATTATCTGATTTAGAAATATTCATCAAAAATATTCTTACATCAGGGGGAAAATATGTAATGTACTTGTACAATTGCTATTCTGTAGATATGACAATGATTATTGCAACTTAATCATATTGTATCATTTCAAATAAACATTTAAAACAGAATTGAATAGTAATAATAAATAAATGGCTTGAATAGATATGTTAGTAACATATTCTGTCAAATTCATAAAAATAAATATAGAAATTTTATTATACAAAAAAATTGTTAAGTTCTAATATATATAATCTTGCAGTTTTAAAAACAAAATAGCTTCACAAATAAATGCAAAATGTAAAGACTTACATATATAAATGTGTGTGTTCTAAAAAGTTTTATATGGAAATACCTTTGACATACATTGTGTTAAATAAAAAGAAAAAAAGAATTATCTGAATAATACAATTAAAGCACATTATAAAGGCAACCGCAAGTTTGAAAATGAAAGATGCAATGTTACATATTTTTCGGTTATTGCAGGTTTTACCATTAGTTATTTCAGCATTACTGTCAAATTTTTTCTCAAACTATCCTAAAGTGGAACCTAAAAGACATGAACAAAAAGTAATGTATGTTATATCTCTGTTATTAATTCATAGAGGGAAACTTAAGCAACTCGTTGCTGGATGTTTGATTCAATACTTGCTTATCTTTCTCAGCAACATTTAAAACTGTTTGGCACCATCTGTTATATTTTATTAAAAAACCTTTTATATTTTTAATTAGGGACTGTCCATAAATTATATCTGCACTTTTCTTTAAATTTTTACTCCTCCTCCTCCTCTTGTACAGTTTGTCCAAATTTCCATAATCCCTTCCCCTCTTTGGACATCCAACAAAACTCGACCCCTTTTAAAACTTTTATCACTTTATGAAAGATAGATACCATAAGTAAAATTTCTACAAGAATTTTTGAAAAATATAATAAAATGCATAAAATTTAATGAAATAATCAGATGTCCACTGAAGCTCAACCCCCCTAGTTTGGACATCATTTATGGACAGTCCCTTATTATAAAGCAAAAAGCTTAATTTTGAGGGTAGGGATGGGTTTTATAAAAAAAAATTCTAAATATAATAACAAGTAAAATTGTCATAACCCCTACTCTGATCCTACTCAAGATACAACTCAACTCTCCTTTATCTTCCTACCCAGTCAACCTTTAACCATCAAAATTAACAGCAACAATCCCCTAATACACAAATCTTCCTGCAGAAGTTTAGAAATTTTCTACAAAAAGCAAAGGAGTTATTAAGTTTCAAACATGATGAACAAAATTGTGCTCCACACACATTGAAAAAATTTTGGGGGGTTTTTCTGTATTTCTCAATGTTTCAAGGTCCCGAGTCAAAAAATGTAAAACTCTTGGGAGTCATTTTTTGACCAATCACCATACTTTTCCTCTGGTATATTGGCCTATATATATACTAGCAGATGAGCTCGGTGTTGCTTGGACAAAAAGTAACAATAGCAAAGATTAAGATTATTAGATTATAGCTGATTTTACCCGTTTTCACTGAGTGCAAGAATTAGGTCCCCCTCTTCCAAGACTAAGTAGAAAATTTTTAGATATCTGCTTACCACGATAATTAAGATTCACAGCAATCACTAACTGATGTGTAGTACCACTATGTGATGAATAACAAATGTTTTCATAACCCCTTCTGGGTTCTTTTTCAGGTTTACTAAATTTGAAAAATAGGCTGGATCTTCCCGAATCATTCATCGAACATTAAGACAAAGAGTTCAAATAAAGTGAACTTATGCGCATGCAGCTCCCCATGTCAACTTTACGATGGAACACTAAATATCGTTGAGAATTCTTAGAAGGGTCTAAAAATATGTTCGATTTCCCATATAAATGCAAAAAACTGCATCTAAAATAGTACAGTAGAAGCCAAGTTCTTCATGGTAAGCCTTAATTCTCTCTTAGTGTGCATTCTCATGACATACTCTAATTGTTTATCAAATTTCAACTACTAACCATTTGGGCTCTGTGCTTATTATTATTATCATCATAACCCATCTTGATTATATTATAAGATAAAACAGAGCTGGAAAAGTAAAAAGGCTGACACAAAACATTAGGAACAAAATTAAAACTATTGATTTTTTTTTTTTGTTTATACAATGATGGATTTTAGGAAATATTTAGTTAAATAATATCATAATTGATATTAATAAGTTCACAAATTAATTCAAAGATACAAGACTAAGATCTAGCAACACTGATAATCACATTAACTGTAGTTTGTCTAACAAGAGCTAAATATCAAAGAGTGAAATATGTTTAAAACTAATAAACTTTAATCTCAAATATATGCATTAACTCATATATATTTAAACATCTTTTGGTTCCTTCACATTCAGCAAAGAGCATCTGCTATTATCCAAATAGAGACACTCACTCTAGTCCTGAGGTCTGTCTTTGTGGCAGACTTTTCCCTGCTGGCCACACTTTTTTTTAAACAGATAAAACATAAAAAAGAAATTCACTTTACTTAATTTTATCTCAACAGAAACTTCAGAAAATATTTTCATATTTTTTGTTTCTGTCTGTATTTCACGCACATGTTCCTGACCTGAATCCATTCAGTTTTAAAACAGTGGAAGTTCACTTTCCCAACATATTGATGTGTTTTAAAAGAACATGCCATCAAAAATGTTGAATACTAAGTTAAGATAGCTTGGGAGTATCAAGTTCACAATGGCATCTATAAATCTAAATTTCCAGAAAACACAAAAGTTTTATTTAGAACAGATGTGCTTGATACAACACTTCCTTTTTTGATTGAGCGTCTATATGAATATATATTTTACTTTCTGCCCCTTTTCCCTTTATTTTGAGTTTATTTTAATAAATAGAACAAATACAATGTCTAAATTGAAACTCTAAAAAGAAAAAAAAAAGTACATTCACACTTTGAAGCAGACTATTTTCCTGTTCCAGTCTTCCCAAGACAGAAAACATGTCAAAGCCAGGAAGTTTACAGAATACTGTACAGTGCTGGTTTTCATGGGTTTTACAATAATATGATTTTTATTTCATTTTTCTCAATCATCAGTTATTACTAAAGACTTATAAATAAAAAATATTTTCTTAAGTTTTATAAATCTGAAGTCAAGTGCTTTCATTAATTTTTTCTTCTTCCAGTGTTAAATGCACTCAGATTATATAATCTTTAAAAACTAACAAATATTCTTAATTTTCTTCAAAGCTCAATGCATTTCAGTCTATATTAATTAGAATGTTTAAGTTTTAAAAGTGTATATTTATAGTTCTTAAAAAATTAAGTAAATGAAAAATCACCATAAAGACTTAAATGCATTCAAATGACAATTATGTAAATAATCAAATTTCTTTCTTTTTAAATTACTGATTCTTCCCTACAAATTACATAATGAACAGTCACTGTCAGTTTTACTTGCAATTATTTATTTATTTCTAAATGAGTATTTCTCAACTAGTGTTTCACAAAGACAAGACGTGTTCTGCCAACCATCTGTATCAGAAAACCTACTGAATAAAAGGTAATTTTATTGTTATTATGTGTAAACAAAAGCTCAGTTAGATTGTTTATCAAATCAAAAATTAATCAAATTTACTTTTGTTATTTGAAACTTTCATAAATTGAAGAAACATTGTTAATCTTAATTTATTCACCTTCATTTATAACTATTTCAAAAAAGGTAATGAAAAATAAGAATATAGACTCATGTTCTCTCTTTCATTTTGATTAATTAAATAAAGAATAAAATAGGATGTTCAAATTGTATTCTACCTGATATCATTATTTTTACAATGACACTTGAATAAATAATTTATATTCTGTCTGAAAAATTTTAATGAGACTTTACTTTCACATATAAAGGTAAGAACACACTTGGGTGGGTGAGCAGAGTGGATGGAATCACATTGATATATCCCTGTGTGGTTGCATTGCAATGGCAGATCCAAGTAAAATTTGGAACAAAAGAAAAACGAAAATATTCAAATATAGTAAAATGCATTGTTTGAATGTTTCAGTACAAGTAATGTCCATGAAGTATTAGTGGTAGTGAGTTGTCTATTATTAGAAGAGAATGTTGTAAATTATATTATTCTTTATAGTTTTGCACTAGAGAAATTTCATGTCTTCATAGTAAAAAGAAATGGGCACAAATAATAATGCCTCTCTTCAAAAAAGTGATTTCTATTAATGATTAGATCTTGACACTAGGTACTGTACTTAGATTAATAACCTTGTCAATTTGAAGTGGAAATGTTGCCTCCTCAAGAATGCAAGACAAATTTTCTCTCACATGACCAGTTATCTCCATTTGTCCATCATTAAGTAAGTCGTGCACAAACAACACACACACACTAGATGTTTGTGTATGATCCTAACTTTACCTTATGACAAAAGGATAAAACTGAATGGTCAGGAAAAAATACTTTATTGTAGCATGAGCTGAAAAACAATTTTTTTTGGGCAATTTTATTTTATTAAAAAATTAAAAGATGAATTTGTTGAGTACTACAAATTTACAAGTACTACACATAATAAATATATTTTAGAAACAAATTTTCTATAATAATTTCTAAAATAAAAAGCAAAAACAATACCATTTTTCCTTGCTTCATTTGCAACAGTTGATATTCTAGCATCCAATGTTCTTTTTCCTTAAAAAAGTTTTATTTCAAAATGCTGTAATTCAAAATATTTTAATATTTTAAAAACATTTCTTACTTGTTCTGTCTTTTTCAGTTTCTCATTTGTTGTAGAAAGCTTTAAAGGAGAAGAAATTAAACAATTACTTTATAAAAGTTCTTACATTATGGCAGTGCATATATTACAAGCATCATAATAAACTTACTTTTTTCATTAGCTCGTCTTTATTATCAGCATATGTTGTTAATATATCTCTATTCTTAAGTGCTGTTTCATATGGTATTGTGCTTTTCTCATCCTGTAATTTTTTTTTAAATTTTTAATTATTAAATTAAATAAAATAAAATTTTCTATAAGCATCGATTACTCACCTCTTGCAAGATTTCCATAAACTTTACTCCACGCTGCCGCAAGTCTAATACAACTGGCTTGTACTGCATTTTACCACTATTACTATTTATGGTATCTAAATAGCCTCTTGCCTTACATGGAATTCCATTAGAAAGAATTTCCATATTTTCAGTTGTCTTTTGAGTAATCTTTCATAAAATTTAAAAATTTAATATCATCTTATCATGGAATAAAAGCAACAAGAAAATAAAATCATACCTTTTTAAGGGCATTGATTACAGATATCATAGATGTTAATACTAAAGAATCCGATGCTTTGATTTCTGATGTCACAATTGGTAAGTGTTGTTCTGTCATTATTTTTGCACTAAATATTTTTTTCATTTCTATATATTTAGAAAATTTTGTTTGTTATGTATTGTTATAGCTTCATGCTATTCAAATATACTTTACATACCTTCAAAAAGTGATTGTAGATTGCACAAAATGTTGAATATTCTCCTAATAAGATAAGGAGAATTGCAATAATGTTCTGTACTCTCTATTAAAAATAATGGAAAATTTATCTATATACATGCATACATATATAATATATAAAGAATAAAGTTTCTATAAAAAATTTATAAAAATCAAATAATTTAAACATAACTGTTTGATTTCTTAATTTTTCTTGCCCTGATACATTGATTATATGAAGATAATAATATAATAAGTATTAATAAAAAACTTAAATAATGCAAAATTCTCATAATTAGTTTTATATAGTAGTTCATCATTGTTAATACCAATATAATTATAGTATATGATGAATGCATTTATGACTAAAACACATTATATGTCTAATGTAAATTATGGCACATTTTATTTATAAAATGAATTACAGATTTCTACATATGGTAATTCTTATATGTACTGTACTTCAAATACAGCAATTAATGTTATGTAAGGACCAAAGCATAAAATCCAAAACACACACACACACATATCATTATCTTGTTTATATTTTAGCAAATTCTTGACAGTAAGACAATTACATTATTCACATGCAGATAATTTGACTTAGCTAATCTTTATGTTAAGATTTGTATATATATATTGTACTTGAAATAAACTGTTTCTTTCAATTTATAAATGGTCAAAGAATTTATTAAATAAACTTAGAAAATTTACAAAAATTTAAATTTATACTTATTGTCCTGGCAAAAACGTTTTATCAAATGTAGAATATATTAAATGTTTTTTGTTAAATGTGTGGTTAAAATTGTATTTTAACCACACACATTTATTAGTTTAAGTATTTTCAGTAGTTTTAATCAAAACAGGAATTAAAATGAATTTTCTTTATTGACAACTGAACATAAAATTTTTTAGTTTCCAAGTATGTGGAAAAAAATATCATGTTCATAGATGTAATAAAAATATATAGTATATAAGCAACAACTCAACGAACCTGAATTTTGATTAAAATTAGATGATCTGCCAAATTATCAGGCTGTAATTAATTAATTTATTTATTTTAATTATGTTAAGAAGTCTGATTGAGATGAAAGATTTCCACACCTCAAGTAACATTAAAAATAAACAGATAAATAAATGAGCTAAAAAGGTAGAATGGAAAAGAACATTATAGTACATTAAAACAATCGCAAAAATGAAAATACAGACAAATCTTGTTTTAACAGATTGCTCGGGCTACCAAAAATAATCCATTTTTCTGAGGATCCACTATATCATGAATAATGGATTTCCTGCACACCCGGGAAAATACCCACTATTCAAAAAATTTCCATTTTTTTTAATTCCTATATATAAGAAATACCAGTATTTGAAATTATTCAGTCTCTTGAGATCTCGATTCTTTATCCTATAGAAACACATATGTTTGTAACATACATGTATATTAAACCTGCTGTATATAATCATACATTATACCATACATGTGTACAATAAAGATGATGGAAAGCATATATACTGTATGCACAAAAAGATGCAAATTACATATGCTCATTAGCACTTTGCTTGACTTCATGATTTGTTAAAAAAACTCATCCATCTCGGTTTGTTTCGATGCTGCTTTTCTGCCTATTGAATACAACAATGGCTTGATAATAGCAATGTCATGTACTGTACACTACAGCTTGTTCATTTATGCTGAAACTAAACAGGAAGATCTTCAAGTCTTGGAAATACTCTATGACCTTGCTAAATTTCAGCATTACACTTTGACTGGCACCAGAATGTTCACTAGGTGGCACCACCTCAATTGTATTGACTCTCTTCATACAATTTTTCAATTATTCATACTCCAAATGTACAGTACAAGTACCTCATCAAACTCTACAAATTTCCAGAAACACTGAAATATTAACTAAACATTGAAAAATGCAAAGTTTACAATAGATGGGGGTAAAAAAAAATCTTATTCCAAGTAATGGATCTGCTAAAAGGAGGTAAAATTACATTGATTTGGTGAGATCCGAAAAAAATTCTGAGAAATCTGTTGTTTCATGATCTGTTAAAAACAAGATTCTACTGTAAATAATTTAAAAGTTATACAGAATATGTTTACAAGTATTTTAAAACAAGTAAAATTTTCATAAAGTATATATTCAAGGTCAACCGTATTTTGTGAGATAGGATAAAGAAATGATCTTTGAGAAATGGACAATCTAAAAAAGTGTAAAAAATATGTGAAGGGTTATGCAGGTTCTACTGTGGTGTTTTTAGGCAGAGTCATTATTATGTAACCATTAAAATATTTAATACATTCTGTGAAAGAAGAGAGCCCTAGTTTGGACCTGGCAATGTCTGGGTAATAAGTAACAGGTGAATGACAGAGTTTATTTCAAGAGTTTCAAATCAGATAAATTTTATTGAGTTCTTCTGAAAATTTTTCTAAAAGGGGAGAGGTTGCCATTGCTTAGATTGGTAAACCATAATTGGCAAGAGATTGAAATTTAAAAAAAAAAAAAAAATAGAATGTAATACCTGTTTCAAACAAATGGACCCGCAAAACCTCCAGAGAATTTCATGGTATATGGCAAGAGGTTTTACTATTTTGGTAATGTGTACTGAAAACAGCTTATTATCAAAAATTATACCTAGGTCATTTATAGAGTTAACATAATTTAAATGGTTTGTACCAATGGTGAAGGGAGGCAGAGGCATTCCAAAGTAAGGAAAAGTACATGACAATGGATTTTTGTGTGTAATTTAACTATAAATAGGTGGTTAAGCTGCTATCTCATGATAATTTTAATAATTATACAGTAGAACCTCGAAAACTCGACCTAATGTGGACCGAAGGGTGGCCGAGTTTGTGAAAATGCCGAGTTATCGGGAATGGGGTTAAAAAAAATAAGTACGAGTATTTCCTCAGAAAATACTGTACTGTACTTGTACAGTATTTACTTGTACAGAATATAACAGAGAATAAACTGCCCAAATACCCTTAAACAAAGGAAAAGTACGTCCTTTATGAAGGCATAGAGCCACTACATGAAAATGAAAATTAATGAATACACTGTGTACAGTAATTTACCTGATAAGACAGACCTCAGAAAAATACTTTATGAGAGCTTTTATACTTTTATAAAGCTGTCTATAATGAAAATTAATTAACTAAGGATTTTTTCGCCCTGCCAAGGTGTGGACCAGTTATCCGGAGTGCTAAGTTATCGAGGGACGAGTTTTCGAGGTTCTACTGTAATAATTTAATTTAGAATTTCTGGAAAAAAGAATTTGCCCAGAGTGGGACTCAAGTCCACAACTTCCATTTACCATGCAGATGTGTTGCTAGTTATGCCAGACTTCCATCTGATCTTCACTTCCAGAACTATTAATTTAGATATATGCAATACAGGTCACTCACAGATTTAAAAATTATTTCATATCTAATTATTAACTTAGTCTAATCATAACCAAATAATTTGGCAGATTGTCTGGCTGTAATAAAAATGTATTAGTGCATTTGAAAAGTAAATATTATTTGCAAATATTTTCACTACAGCACTGCAGTGTGGTTTTCTGCATGAACACTACCTTCTATCATTTATTGGCAAGCCATAGATACCATTATAAAAACATTAGATGGTGTTTTTGTATTTTTCTGTGCATTTAACATGTTCAAGACAATCGAGCAGGTCACTAACTTTGAAATATAGTCAGTTATCCATTTTTAAATGCAAGAAATGTGAGACCTACAGACCTACAGTCAAAATGTCAAGAGTGATGGAATGATAAGGAAATAGGTCCAACAATGCTTGCCACACACTGCTGCTCAAACTCAAACCCCTCATCACATCATTTGGAAACAAGCGGAACTCTCTCTCTACAGCCTAGACTTAACACCAAGTGATTTTCATTTGTTCATGCATCTGAAGAAGTTCCTTGTTAGCCATCCTTTTTTATAAGAAAACTGATGCCCCATTATAATAAATGCCTCAATAATGGTGAAAACTATGTAGAAATGTAGTTTAAAGTAAGATGAATTTGATAAAAATATGATTTTTGACAACAAATTATCATTATTTTAATAGTCTAATGGTACTTGCTTTTTAAATGCACTGATATAAAGTTTCATTCAATGAAAAATTATTTCCCTAGATACATCAAAAAAACAAATACCAGAAATTTACATTTTGTATTTTGTAACATTGACATCTTTGCTGCATATTAACCCAGTGTTTTAATATAAATTTGAGTTTCAAAACTTCATAAAAGATAAAACTAAACTGAAAACAAAGCATTTAATAAATAGAAATAATAAAATAAAACTGATAACAACTTACCCATTTCAACAAAAAGCTGAAGAGAATTTTTTAAGCTATTAAAACATGATATTAATTTCATAGTTAAATCATACAGTTTTTCATGTATTTCTTCCAATTTTAGTATGCTCCCTTTAGTTTTGCTTTCACTATTTAAACTGAATTTTAAAAATATATCAGAATTTCTTATTAAGTAGTACAAGAAAATTATTGAAAGAGTCTTACCTAAGTAGAAAATATGGCAATAATTTTTCTAAATAACTTACATAAACTGAAAATGATAGTGAAACATCAGATAAACTTGTTCCTTTGATCTAAAAATAATAATATTAATAAAACTTTGTTATCACTTATAAACATTAAATTTTACAAATAGAAAATTTAAAAAATAAACAATTTACCAGAAACAGTTGTTCATCTAATATTGTTTTTGTAAATTTTTGGTATTCTTTATCTATATTTTGTAAATGTATTGAACCTTCCTTTAAATGATTTTCAAACTGAAAAATCCATTATTAATATAGATAATTGTATTCACATTTAAAAATTTTTTTCTTCTTATTACATAAAAAGTTAATGTTTGGAAAATACCTTATTTAATAATCCATTGTTCAATAAATCACGATCAACTAATTTTATTCTTCCTTCTATATTTTTATGAAGTTCACATAGGAAGCGAATTGCATCAGTTACAAGAAAGGACATTTCTTTTAGAACTTTAGATAGCTTGCAACATTGTTTCTGTGAAACAATTGGTATATTTGTGCTATTAACAGTAGTAATTTCTGAAATATTTAAGATTACATGTTTAATATCAAATAATCATAACAATATTTTAATTAAGTATAAATTAATAACATAATATTGTCAAAGGAAATATGCATTTTTTAAATTTGTAAAAATATCTGTGGAAAATACCAATAAAATATCTGTGGAAGAATTCAAAATATTCTAAAATTGTCCAAGAATGCCACTGAGCAATGTTAATTGGTTGATACTGTGTACCAGTCACTGTCCACATAAAAATCCATTGATACTCTGACTACAAAGCAAATCATGACTCATTGATGAACAGGACATCTATAGTCCAAGTGACATGATCCTGACACCATTTTAAATGGGCATGGCACACATTCGAACACAAATTTTTTAACCTTCACACACAAAAGCTGTGTGCGCGCAATCTCCTTTTTAAAGTAGTTACAGATTCAGGCCACCCTATAGCTGCAACAGGCTTGAATGTAAAGCAGGTGCTGTTGCCTGCCTATTGCATCTGACCAATAATGCTAAGGAGCAGTCATCAGAAAATATTGTAACTTGAGAGTAACTCAAGCCTGGTCTTCTGCTTACTGTCTTAGTGATTTGGAATTGAGTCCATAGATATGAAATCACAGAATGATGGACTCTGAAGAATTGACTAACTTTTCCAATAGATTGACTGGATTCTAATGTACCCAGAGCTCATTATCTTTGACCATCACCTAAATGTCTTCCTTGTGCCATAGTGCACAAATTGGCTATTTTGGAATTTCAACATCATGTCCACAGTTAAAGTATCAAAGCAAAGAATGGAACAACTATTTTCACCAATAGACTGATTTGTGTATTACGAACATAGCCAATGTGTATTTTACTCATGATTCAATATTTGCATATCATATTTGAAGTATACATCAAATTCCATTCAATACAATGCACACATTTGCTCTTTATCTGAGAATTTGCATGTTATGCTTATTTTTGGAGAGGAGCAGAGTTTAAGCTGTTGCTTTTTTTTTGCTGTAGTTTTTGCTAAAAAAGCTGTAGTTTTTTTGCTAAAATGCTACAAGAATTTAGATTTAGCAACAACTTTCTTGGCACATTTTGCTAAAAAACTAATGCTTTCAAAGTTTTTATGATGTTTTAACTAGTGATGGGACAGTACCAAAATTTCTCCAAATTCCGATTCTGCTAAAAAATCCAGATTCTTTTCAATATTTTCTAAAGTTTATTTTAGTTTAGAAAAATTAACGATTTACATTACGAGCATGATACAGCCATTAATCAATAAACATCAAGCTTGAGAATGGAAAGCGATTGGGAAATCCAGAATTGATCTTTCAAAAGAAACTTGAATATTCTCCATTTATTAATATTGAAACACTACCCCCAAACAAATTACAGCTAATTCCCTTTTACTAAAATGGAAACGAAAAAAAAACTATCCCATTGTGTCATCCAAGGTCGCCATCTGTGTCATCAAGGTCAGCCGAACTGTTTTATTGGCTGATGCAATGACTGGGGGAGGGGGAAGGTAATGAGAAGATGCACATATTTTTTAATGTTTCTCACAATTTGCATGCAATGTGCCGAACAAATTTCATCATCATGAGTTAACCAACTTTTGAATTTGTTCACTCGAGCTAGGTTTTCCTAAATGTACAATTGCGTGTACTTATTCAAAGAAAAGAAGAAGAATCAAATGAATGCCTAGATTGATTCATCTTAAAAAATCAATTTTTAAAACTCAAAACAGCAGTAAACTTTTTAGCACTGTAGTAAATTTAGCACAAACAATTATTTTTAGTTAGAATTGCACAAAATGAATTCAAAAATTTAATGTATTACAGCATCATTTGTGAATCATAACAAAAACTTTAATAATTAGTTATAATGGGAAAGTCTTATCATTAAAAAACACTTCTGTATAGGCTGAAACTAATTTATCTTGCACAACACCTTAAATACTTCTCTCAGCAACACTTCAATTTTTATAAAAGAACATTTTTGATCCCTTTTTACAGGTCTGTGTCAGGTTTAACAAAAAGATTTGAATTGTCTTCTTAAACAGTGTAAATCTTCTTGTTAAACTTAATGCAGACCTGTGAAAAGAATCAAAAACATGTTTAAACAAATTAAAGTATTGGCAAAAAAGTATTTAAGGTGTTGTTCAAGCATTTTATCATTATAAATAAACAAACATACTAAATATTAAAAATAATTTTGTCTAATATTTTTTTAACCAAATACTGGCTGGGTGGCAACCCTAATGCCACCCTATCTTTCCTAAAATGGGACAGTTAGTACCAACCAAGCACAATCTCTCATCACTCCAACTATGAAAAAGAAAAGTTCAACTTGACAAACATCATCTTGTGTATGGGGTGTCATGTATTCTGTGCTTTGTAAACATAATGGTTTCCAATAAACAAATACTTAATTGTTAATATTGTAATTTTAAAAAAACAATTTCTGATAGACTGGAATTTGTTGCTATCAAATGTAAGGATATGTCAACAGCTAAAGTTTATAAAATGATAGTTGTATATGACCTTCTCTCAGATTACCCTCATGTCAACAGTTATTGAATTTGTTCTTTCACACCCAGTGCACACTGTTTAGTGTGAAAGGTTTTGGTGAGATGACATTAACAAAAACTTCAATTGAAAACTGTCTTGATGTAAAAAATGTCAGCAACTTGTTAAAACATCTCCATAAATGGCCCCAAGATGGTAATTTGATTTCCATTCAGCATTTGTTTCCTGGTGTGTGTCAAAACAAAGGATTGTTCAATAATGTATGACACTTGTGGTTTATAACAATAGATTTATGGTTATATTGGTAATGTAGTACACTGTAATAATGTACAGTATTTATAAGAATAAACAAATATTTAAACAATATTGTATTGTGTATTGTTCTGGGCAGCCTCATGGATGAGAAATGTTAGCTACAGTTTCTAAAATTTTGCTACAACTTTTTTTTAGTAAAATTAGATAAAATGCTACGAAAAATTTTTCCCCAGCTTAAACCCTGGAGAGGAGTATACAAAAATGCAAGCACTCTGGACAAGAAACAGTTCTATTGCCTTCAGGCATAGATACTTGAAGAAGACAGAACTGTTTCTTGTTGAAAGTGATTGCACATAGTGTTAAAATTTTATTTTAAATATACTAGTTTAACTTCAGAAAACAAATAATTCTTTCAGTTAATGGAGTTGTCTTTTTCCCAAGAATTACTTATTGTAACATTGTCATAATCCAGGCTGCAATTTTTAATCATATTTTAATTTAACTTATTGCAAAGATCAATTCTATATGAAATTTATTGTTCTATATAATAAGGTAAAAATTTTGAATTGAAATCATATTACTTCTGGTCCAGACTGGATGTTCATATATATAATTAATTGAGACCTCTGGTCCCTAAGCTTTCCATACCTAGTTCAATTTTTATTTATTATTCCATTCTTGAGATTAACAAAGGACAAATTGATGTCAATGGGAATTTATAGGTCTGCCCAATAAATATGCCACAAATCATGCAAATTTAAATTATCTAACACTGACATCATATAAAGTAGCATTCATCTCTGAAATAATTTTAAACAATTAATAGAAATACAAAGTAATGCTGAAGTGTATAATGTATATCACATAATAGGTTTTCTAATCAAAACAATTATGAGCAAATAGATATTCTAACTCTTTGAATCAATGGCCACTGATTTCACCAAATAATGCCAGCCATTCAATTTCTTACTGTAATCTTTAGGATGCTAGATATTTTATTAGAACTGTTATTACAAACTCCTTATTTAAGTAAGTATTCATCTTGGAGATTTATTTTCTGAGAAACTGAATTAACAATTAATAAATTTTACTATATTATAAAAGAAATTGTAAATAAAAATATGCCAAAAAAAAAACTAACTGGTTAAGATAATTTATGAACAAAAAACAAACAGTAAAATGCTTAAATAGTACAATAAGAAATAGTAAGTGGCTTTGGGATATGTCATATCACCTGGACCTTAAATAATATGAATCACATAATATAACTAAAATATTCATAACAGTTTTTATATTTCAACAGATATTTAATTTCAGTTAAAATATTTAATAAAATTTATATTTTAATAATATAATAAATATTTTAAATTAATAGAGAGGTTGCAGCCGAAGTTCAAACTTGTACAGCAAGAGAAGTACACATTTGACATTTGAACTTCAAGAAAAACATATTGCGTCACATGGTCACATCACACACTGATTCATAGGATATTGTTGAAAAATAGAGACATTCAAGAGCAACAAAAGTTACCAGTGAAGATAAATAAACAAATTAAACTATTTCTAGAAATTTACAAATGAATTATGCTGTTGATGGTAGAAGATGCCATGAAAGAACAAACCTACTTCTACAGTGTTATGGTAAGTTATTATGAACACAAATATATAAAAATGCTATAGGCACTTCACATCACTTGCAAAAAATTGAATAATTAAATAATTTCTGGATTAAAATTGTCTGTTTCTTTACAATGTTATTCATAAACGCTTACATTTAAAATCATTATTTTAATAAAATAAGTCATAATTTTAACCCAAAACACAGAAAAATGCAGATGTTTAAGCCATACTTCTACTTGCCATGCTTGACATTCCAAATGCAATTGACAAACTTCTAGGCTTACAAGATGGCGATGTTCACGTTTTAGAGATGAAAACTTTGGCTGCAACCTCTCTAATAACAACATTGACACCAAATATATTTATATTACTCAATACAAATTTTACTTGTAAATATTACTTACTTGTATCAATAAATGGTAATTTTTGTTTTATAATTTGTTCAGCACTTTCCTTTTTCTTTCGTAAATCAGTCTCCACAATTTTAAGATCTTCTTGACTTCAAAAAATTTTTAATTAGTTAAACATTAGAAAAATATTAATGTACTGAAAGATCATTTCATATACCATGTTTCTTCCTGTATTCTAATTTCTTTAACTTCTTTTTCATAATTCTTTAATTCTACCTAATAAAATAAAAATTATTTAATAAAAATTTCTTATTTATAATATGATTAATATTAGCTATTTACCTCTAATTTTGCTCTTTCTTTGGTCAATCTATCAATTTTTGTTTTATATTTAGCAATAGTTTCATTTAACTCTCTTGTTTCTTTTAATCTTTCTGCCCTGATTTCTTCTAATTGTGAACTTAAATCGTCTACAATTCTTTTATGTTCAATTTCTGCTGAAGTCACCTAAATTTTTAAAGTTATTATTAAATAAAGCTTTCTTTTTTTAAATAGATATAAAATAAAATATTCATTTACATTTAAAAATACTATCAGCTTTAATTATTATTTCAACTGACATACAGATTAAAAAACATTTCAACTTTTTTCTTAAATTCTCTAATTATATATAATTATAATTTTCAATATTTTAATTAAAATTATTTTTTTATTCACTAAATGTATAATTGTAAGTCCTTACTAAGCCATTATAAAATTTAAAAACAGTTTATTCAAACTCAATATTTTTTTCAATATTTTTCTACAATATCAAAGATTCCTACAGAAAATTGATTTAATGTTTTGTTATTATAATGAAGAAAGATTAGTTATGAGTTCAGTTTTGGTTTGGAAATCTGTAATTATATTTTTAATGATGATAACCTATTAAAACAAATATGCTTACTTCTTAACCAATATCCGGCGTGAAAACTCCAAACAAAGATTGGCAAACGCTTTCGATGCCCCTCCTGGGCTCTTCTTCAGGCCAAATTTACTGCACTGGATTTTTAATTCGAATGTTTTTAAATAAGAACGTGCTCAGTTACTAGAAGTTTGAATAAGGAAGGTAATCACGTGCCTTTCCAAATTATAATTTTTTTTATTATAAATTATATTCGTGGAGATATGTTGTGCGCATCCCATAATAATCTTGTGTATCTTATAATCACGTGCCGTTTCTAAAAATAATTTTAACTGTTGGCGATACGATTTTAACTAATCACGTGCCGTTTCTAAAAATAATTTTACTAGTAGCGATACGATGTGCGTATCCCCTAATAATCACGTGTATCGTATAATAAATTACGATTCATCATCCAATAGATACTGCCACGCTGTTGAAAGATTCATTTCTTCTTTAAGATTGATGCAGGTTAATTTGCGATCTGCTCTGTATATTTCCATCGCTTCCAAGGTTCTTAGATGTTCCTGATGACGAGTGGTGTGAATGATTCGTGCCTCATTAAAAATCGGGATTATGTCCGGGTTTGTTGCATATGTAGACAATGCTGTTGTATATTTGTTGTGGGTGATATCTGCTTTATGTTCCTTTATTCTAGTGGCTAACGGACGTTTAGTAGATCCTATGTAAATTAGTTGCCTCTGCCATCTGTCGTCTATTAAGGGAATGGTGTATATTCCCGGTAGTCTGTTCGGGTTATGGGCGTCTTTTCCGTTCCTTAATAAATTATATATGGAAGGGTTTCTTCTGTATGTAATTCTAATTCCTTTTTTCTTTGCAATTGAATTATATATC